GTAATTATTTCAAGTCGAACTCGTGCACACGCCATGCTAGATTAAATATAAAAAGATGGATCCTGGATAGAGCATTTAATACCTTCGTTTGCTTGGAACAAATAAGTTCTACGGATAGGAAGTTGAAACATCGGGTGAGTATTTTCATCCGATTAGAATGCACACTACACAGCACAAAAGTACCTCTTTGTAACATATTTCGTACTCGTTATAGTTCAGGCTAGATATCCTAAAATTGTGCTTCGGATGCAGACATGTGAGCTTTAAAGCTGAAATCTCCCGTGATTCATATACAGGGTATAGAGTTAGTAGTGGATCAACGGAAGTCAGGTGATAGAATATCTCAAAACCTATCGAATGAACCCCTATATGGGTGGTCCGAAATTTTATAGTTCAGGAGATATTTGCATTAGGTTTAGAGATGTGATTTTTTTCTGAGATGAGCTACATGGTTTATTTTAGCAACTGTTATGTCACCTTTTAACATAGCTTATTAGAAATCAACACAAGAAATCTTAAATTCATTTTTTTGTGAAAAATTTCTTCCATCCCTCCACTTTGGAGTTGAAAAACTGGGGTTGTATTTCATTATTCATTTTCTTGTAAAAATATTTTAATCCATGTAGAATAATCCCTCAAAATTTCAGCTTGCTACAATGAGTGTATCCTGTCACATTCGTTTTTGTGATGCGATAAATGTAAGAAACGCAATAGAATCCTACCCACCTACAAGTACAGAACCTATTGTCTTTAGCCGCTTTTTATGGCGATTTACTGACAAATGTGGAAGATAATTTAATTTAACTAACTTTTAAAGAACATTTTCGAAATGGCCTTCATTATTTTCTATACACAAGCGACACCTTCTGATAAAATTGTCCTTTAGTCTTTGAAATGAATTTGCGTTCTCCATAACTTTTATGTTTGCTTCATCAATTTTATGGCGCAGTTGGTTGACCTTTATACAGGGTGGCGCATCGAAAACGAAACAGACGCATTTACTGGCAGCTCAGTTTTTTTTTGGAAAAACGCTCAGACCCGTCGATTTTGTTTTCGAGGGGGACACAAGTTTGGCAAAAAATCACGTTAGCACGTGCAGCCTCCTAAGCCGGGCTGACACCAAATATTGCCGAACACGTAATGCGTAATATGGTGGGGCACCATCCTGTTGGAACATCAATCTATTCGCAATGTTCCTCCGATCATTCTGGTCTTCAAGTATGGCTGTTAATGCAGGATCTATGGCGTCTTCCAGTAATTCTAAATACATTTCACCGGTCAAATTTCCAGGTAAGAAAAAAGGACCAACTAAATGATCGCCAAAAATACCAGCGCAAACATTTAATTTTTGTGGCTGCTGTGTATGAACCTCATGATAAATTCTGGGATTAGAATCGGACCAATATCGGCAGTGATGATGATTTACTACGCCATTTAAGAAAAAGGAACATTCGTCGGAAAAGCAAGTGTTGAATAGAAAATGTTCATCGTTTATAATCGTTCACTCATATCTTCACAAAATTGTAATCGCTGATGAAAATCGTCTTCATTAAGTTCTTGTACCAGGTGAATTTTATACGGATGCAGACTATGGGCCTTTAGAATCCGTTGGACAGTACGTCGACTAACACACAGTCTCCAATTTGCGGGTACTTAACGTAGGATCTACATAAACTTGACCTAAAACCCCCACTTCTATTGCTTCGTTCCTTATGGGATTTTCAATGTTGCGTTTTATTATTGGCGACTGACCCAGTTACCCGAAATTTAGCTACAAGTTCTAAAACATATTTTCGATGCACGTTACTGTTCTCATGTCGCTCATTAAATATTTCTGCTGACCTATTAGCGCACTGATTATTTCCGAAAAATATTTCAATAATTTCAACTCTTTCTGCTGTGGAATATATCATGGTTAATTTGTGGAATAAAGCATTACAAGTTATTTTAGCAACAAAGTTTGGTCAAATCAATCGCTAACTATGTACTAAATTCCTATTTAAAATAAGTACGAGATATTTCCTTATCTTTCTTCAAGAAATAACTTTTTGGCCACAAAAAAACGCTCCAACAGTTATTTTCAACAACAAAATGATAAACAAACCATGGGCGTAGTGAAGAAAAGCATTTACTTATTAAGTAAATTCTTTTAGTCAAATTTCTTCTGAAAGTAGTACAAACTAATCTGATGTACCTATTAAAGTCTACTTTAAGCTTTAAATCAATAAATCTTCAAAACTACTGAACTGAAGCTTATGAATTTTACATCATTATAAAGGGAATTGATTTGGCTATTTGCGTAAAAAATTCGCCATTTTAATTTGACAAAATGTTAATACACACAATATCACTCGCACTGCTAGGACGAATCTAACAGTACCTCATATGTCAAAATCCATCAAGTCGTTTGGACTGCAGCTCGTAAAATAGAATTTCTTGTTTACATGTATAGATACCCACCTGCGTGAAACATACAGATTTTGTTAGGTGAGACATCGTAGCAAGCAGAAATGTTCAGGGTTTATTCTACATGGATTGAAATAGTTTTTACAATAAAATGAATAATGAAATACAACCTCAATTTTTTTACCGCCCTCCAAAGTTGAGGGATGGAAGAGATTATTAAAAAAAACTGAATTTAAGATTTTTTGCGTTAATTTCTACTAAGCTCTGTTAAAAAGTGACATAACTACGGCAAAAACTAACCATTTATCTCATCTCAAAAAAAATCACAGCCCTAAACCTAATGGCTTAGTTGTAACTGCGATTGAAAGTTCATTAACCGGTTTTTTTTGAAATTTCACAAAATTGCAAATATCTCCTGAACTATATGAGTAGAATTTCTGACCACACATTATAGGGGCGCATTCGATAGGTTTTGAGACCCTCTATCACCTGACTTCCGTTGATCCACTACAAACATTACACCCATATATAGCAAAAACAAAAAAAAATCTTGTAATTTTCCCAGCAAGTAGGTTGACTCTGCACTTTCCACTCAACGCTGTCATCAGTTTACAAAGGATTATGTTCGACCCAAGTATCTTTGAGCTAGCTACAAACATATATGATACAAAAATCAAATGGGTCAAGTCAGCCAAACAAGCTAACAACGCTAGCACTAGTTTCTTACCTGCCCTAAGTATCCAGCATCTGGCAACGCTGTTAGACCACACCACTTAAACATATCGTAACCGCCAGCCACGATACTATACCATCCCTACCTGCGATTAGCGTTGTTGATTCTCGTTACTTTCGAGAATTCGTTCCTAATCGTCACTCTTCTACAAAGTAATCATTCATTCGTTACTTCGATTACTAATGACTAATGCCGAATTTGAACAACTTCAGTGGAACGACTATATTATGCTTTAGTTTGGTAATGTGTCTTGTAAGAGTCATACCTTGTTTGCAAAAAATTGAATCACAATTTACTTGAATTTGCTGAGCTCAATGCTGTTATCCTGCTGTCGCTAAATTTGAGTCAAGTTGTAAATAGGTACACTTTTTTTTATTAGCGGATATAGAATTTGATAATTTCCGCCCGAATGTGATATGTCTGGCAACACTGATGATGATGCATGAACGGCTGCCTAAGATGGCAGAAACCAGCGTTGCCACTCAGCGATCAACAATTGTACGCGTACGGGTACGGAAAACTGAGTAATCGAAGTAATCATTTGGTGCTCGGATTGCTACTCGTTACTTTGGGTATCTATGAGTAACGAGTACTCGAGCAACGAACACCTCTAGCGGCGATGCTGTCAGGCGAAAGGCAGAGTTTGACGACGTATGAATGTCGCCGTCGGATAAGTTATAATGATAAATGTACTTAGAAATCTTTGATGTGTGAAGTATGGACTGGTACAATTATTGGGTCTACCGCCAACAAAATGAGATATACCTTCCCCTACCTCCTACAATCCTTAACTCCTGATTCTCAACCCGTACAAAATTGGTTGTGAAGATGAACGGCACGGGTATCACGCATCTTGAAAAGTGACATTATGCCGATTTTTTTTGACATTATGTAGGTTATTATATACAAATTTGCTGAATTTAAAAAATGAGAGAGATAAAAAATACTTATATTCCGTTCACTGCGCAACACTGTCGAATTACAAGCGATACACATGGTAACAGTAATTACATACAACGCGGGCGCGGTGTTGATTTCCCGTAATTTTCCTCAGTTTTTCGTAATCTATAGCTTTGTACATAATCTCTCTTCAGAAAGCACAACATATAAATAACCCGTCATATTCGGCATATTCAGTAATGATTTTCTCACACAGCAAATATCACTGATTTTATACACATGCAGACCGATACACATAATCATCCAGATGCGATCTTGTTATTCAACCAACTTTCTTCTCAGAGATAAAAACTACAGACACGGATCACTCAGCCTCACAAAACTATGCAACCAATAATGCGTAGTTTAGTTGAGTGATTCCACCATAGATGGACGTTCACAACGATCCTAGTAAGCAAACGTGGAATGACTGTTTGCGCCCTAAAAACTACCTAGTCTGCAAGTAGACATCTTATAGGTTTTTTTTGACGTTTTGTAGGTTTTTTACATGATACCCGTGCAGGAGTCTCTAAAACGTCAAAAAATGAAGTTTGAGCTGTATTTATTTTGCGTTCCTTGGGCCCGTATCGTTAGTCGTCCCTACAATTGTAGGGCGCCTTTATGGCCTCCTTGATTGTCATAGTTTTCTACTTCTCCGTGTCAGGACTCTATTTTGAGGTTATGTTACAAACATTTATTTGCATCAAATTGTGCTTGCTTTTGAGTTATATCATGTTTTACCAGCCCGAAATTTCCTACAATTTAAAAAGAAAACATATATTCACAATAGGAGAGCGCTGACGGAGACACGGGACAAGTGTAATCTAGAAATTTTTGAAGGAGAGAAAGCAGTATGACAATCAAGGAGGCCATAAACGCGCCCTACAATTTTAGGGACGACTGACGATACGGGCCTTAAAATGTTATCACAGTTTTCACGAACTTTACAAAATGGAGTGATACTTTGTATCTCGAAGATATAATACCAATATTTTTATAACCTTTTTTTAGAAACCCCAAGAAATCGTTCCTTGAGAGAAAATCCTAGAAACTAGGTAGCCAGCTTTTGAGGGAATTTTCACAAATCATTTCCTTATTTCATTCCACAATGGGATAGTCGAGTGTAGGACCATCAGTTCTTTCAATTTCGAGATGAGAAATATGGATCAGTTTGACCATCAATTACTCTTGAAGGCTTAGACTGAACTCAAGATCAAGGTCATAGTCACATTGTCATAAAAGTGTTCTACAAATAGTCGTTTTTATCTATTTGAATTGTACTTGAGAATTTCTGATTTACCTTGAGACAGCATCGAAAATGAGCATCAGAAAAGGCAGAAACGTTTACCATGTCATAGCTCCAATTCTCGCCGTCTCAAAGCTAGCTGCAGTATGTAACGTTAGACGAATGAACAGTAATAATGCTGCTTTCAAGTACACAAAATCACAATTCATGACTGTGATCCAGGCAGCAATTCTGATCATCTGCATTCTTCACTTGGGATTCGTACCTTATGCTCTCATATATTTGGAACAGGTAAGTTAACACACTGTAAGTTCTTTGCTATACCCTATTCGTAGTCCATTTACGCCCCGGCACAACAAAGATGCAGCGCGGCAAAGCGGCAGCCGCCTAAGCGTTGCTATTGGTCATTCGGCCATAAAACTACGAACAAGTGCAGGATTCGACAGGATAGAACTCAGGCTCTGGGTACCTTCGGCGCGCCGGCGCCAGCAGTTGCTGTTCATATTCGGTGCATACATAGCGTGTGCTTATTATACGTTGGCATGTCGTCTACAGATACAGCAGATGAAACTGAGAATATTTCTCCCAATGCTTCCTTGAGCCATGCTTCCTCTTCAGTGATTTCTCCTCCCCGGAAACGTGACAAGAAGGGACATTTGAATATTCAGGTAACATAAATTGTCCTTAACGTTTATAAGAGCGAAATTTTAGAGCATCTTGACATGAAAATTCATGATACTGAAAGACGTGTGGCGGACAAAACAGGTCCTAAGACAATTTTCAACATTGTTAAAGAATTAAAAAAAATGTCTTCACCACACAAAAGGCTGCATTACACAAAGCTGTTGGATACAGTTTATAACTTTGATCGGAATCATCGAACGCAAAGTCCATCAATTTTTTGAAAGGCATGAACTTCCCACCCTAGACAAAGTATTACAGGAGGTTAATAGTGATGAAGGCTTACCTACTTTCAAAAGGACCACAAATCAGCAAGACAAGCCTTCGATGGACTAACCACGGGTCTAAAGAATCCGTCAGGTACCTGTATCTAACCAATTCGTTCATGGTGTCAAGTAGACTGAATCTATGAGCCCACGCTGAAAACTTAGCTACACAAAACTTAGCTATTTCTGGTAGATTTGGAACCAACACCTGTTAGATACTCTGCTTGTATTATTATAGTTTTCTTGAATACTATATGAAATAATTATTTTCAGGAAAAGGAAAATGATTTGTTATCTGTGACAACGACCGACTACCATTAAGAAATTGACGGGAGTTCATTTGAACGATGGTTTGAACAACCGCTCCCAAAGATTTATGACAATGCCGACATTGTACTTGATCATGTTGCATACCACACTAGAAAACTAGAAAAAATTCCCACAGTGTCTACAAGAAGGGCAGAAATTCAACAACGACTCCTATCAAAATACATTAGTTTCAATGAAAATATGGTCAAAGCAGAACTTATCCATCTAGTCAGGCAGCACAAATATAAATACCTGTATAATCTTTATGTTATTGACGAAATGGCTAAAAACCAAAATAAGACCCCTTATCACCGCGAATTAAATCTCATTGAAATGATTTGGACAAATATAAAAACCTATGTGGCTTCAAACAATACAACATTCAAATTTTCTGAGATGAATAAATTTGTTTTATGAAGCTGTCAACAGAGTGATGGCAAACCATTAGAAAGATTGCATCCATCACGTTCAAGAGACAATCGAATCAAATATGTGGGATCTGGACAATATGATCGATATTCAAACTGAACCTGTAATAATTAATATTAGCCACTCCGACGATGATTCAAGTACTTCCAGAGAATGAAGAATTGTGAAAAGTATGTGCACTATATTCTATAAAAATAATCATTTATTTTGTTAGATTATTCCAAGACCACTGAGGAAAATACGGACCTGTACAATCTCGCCCTTGAGCATGTTGTGTTTTGTCTGGGAGTAAATGGACTACGAATCGGGTATAGGATAAGAGAGCGTAATAACTCAACTATGCCACACAAAACGTATTTCTCAAGGGGCTCGTTAAGATATACGACTTCAGTTGGCCCAACTATTGAAATCTTAGTTTGTTTCTTATCAAACACAAATAATAAAAATGTAGCAGGGTGTTATAGGTTCAAAATATTAACAATGAATATTTTGATAATATATAGTAGAAAACATCAACTTTGTCACTCCCTAATCAAATTTGCAGCATAAAAATAACACATGTTGCAATTACAGCATATCAACCTATTTTCATTTCAATGCAAAATAAGTCTATAACGCATAGGTGGCTGTGAAAAATAAAAGCCATGACAATTGTTTTTATTAATCACAGCTGTCAGAATACGTTTAAAATAATTTTGGGTAGTTAAGGTTTTCAAAATGGGTAGAGGAAAGATTATTAGTGAGAAAATTCGGTTACTGATAATTAATTTTTTTAATTCTGGGAAATCAAACTCAGAAATTGCAACTTTGTTAGACTTATCGCGGTACAGTGTGAGAAATATTGTTAGAAGATATAACGTAACTGGTTCAGTTAATATTAAGCCACGATATGTGAAAAAAAGTAATATCACAAATGCTGACCGAAGAGCATTAAGAAGAATAATCGTGAAAAACAGGCGAGCCTATTATTTACAATTAAGTGCTCTGTGGAGTGACGCTGTTGGAAGGAGAATTTCGAGGTCCACAACTCATAGAGGGGTCCACAAACTGGGATTTAGCACTTGCAAGGTAAGTTTTCTTATAAAAAAAAGTGAAGTAAAAGCCCTAAACTTGCACAACTTGATTATAGGCCAGAAAAATCGGCTTAGATGGGCTAAAGAACATAGACAATGGACACCTCAACAATGGTGTGCAATACAATGGAGTGATGAGGCCCGATTCGGAGTTTGTGTTGGTGACAGTCGCAGTAGAGTTGTTCGCAAAAAAATGAAGCATTCCATGTTGACTGTCTGAAGAGAAAAGTGAAATTTCCAGAATCCATTATGGTCTGGGGCAGTATGTCATCAAAAGGAGTAGGAAAAACTTCATTTTATTGATGGAAATGTGGATAAAAACAAATATTTGGCAATTTTAGAACAATCGCTTTTACCAGTGAATGTTTGACATCCGGCCAAGATTTTGTGTTTCAGCAAGATTGTGCAGCGTGCCATACCTCAAAAAAGGCTATAAACTGGATGGAAGAAAATAATGTACCACTTTTGAAATGGGTTTCTAACAGTCCAGATCTGTCACCTATTGAAACTTTGTGGCACGAGATGAAAAAGGTTCTACGACAACATCCTGCTCGTACAATCACCGAACTGAGACAAAACCTTCAAGAAATATGGGATTGTTTTACACCAAATTTTTTCCAAAACTTGGTTAACGCTATGCCCCAAAGAATTTCAGCCATAATAAAAAATAAAAGTGATGTTACCCAATGGTAATCTTTCAATTGTTAACTTCGCGCATTTATTCGCACATTGTTTATTTGTTCAGATGTTCTATTAGTTATAGGTCTAAGTGATTTCAAATATGTATTTTTTACGACTAGAGTGTATCTAAAATGTTTTTGAGAAAATAAATTGTTTTAAAAGTAAATAATTTCGTCATGTTTAGTTTATAAAGGCATATTTTGGTACAAATCTTGAAGTGGGCCAACTGAAGTGGGAAGGGGCTCCTAGTAAGGCACAGCGACACGCTTGGCAAACTTCCAACCGGGTGTCGATTTTTGCACACAAATCAAAGGATCTGACTTATCAGTACCCAGTCACAATACGCAGAATCAGAACGATTTTGAGATACTTGTAAAATCTGAATGAGGCTGTTGACTGCTTCAAGACTAGGCTTTCTCAAAGTTTTATATTTTCTTAATTGTAGCTAGATCCAGGTACAGAAACTACGAACTCAACAGCATTCAACCACCTTGGAGGTGATTTAACAAGTCAGAAATTCATAACAAAAATGGCCAACATAGTTTTGCTCTCATTTACAGCCATTTTAGCTAGATTAGCTAACACAGTGCAACTACCCAAAATTTTTCCTAGCTTGATTGAAGATATACATGATTTTGACAAAATGGTTTTCAATGCTAATAATGACTTTGCTTGGAACTTCGGACTATCAGGTAATGGGTGAAGTTTAACTTACATGAAATAGTATAACTAGAATACAGAGGTACATTTTCCTTCTTGTCATATAGAAATAGAAGAGGAAATTGTAGAAAAGAAGTACTATTTATATCAAGTTAGAATTTCTGTTCTTCATGATTAGATAGCATTATTGAGGACGGATGATTCCAAGTCTAGAGATAAGTAAGAATATTTGAAGGAAATATTGGAAAGCCACAAACTGGTACCTATACATAAGCCTGATTTGGTTCCGTGGATCATTTTTTATGACGTTGTAAGGAAGTAACTATATTGACACGCTTTTAGCTTCTGAGCAAATCGTTGAAAAATATTATCGTGATTCTCTAATATCGACTAAGGATATTGTTCTACCCCGTTTTACGAATAGTTTTGAAAATATATGCCTTCTATAGATATCCTTTACATTGTTTTTTCTTCAACAGTTCTGTTGGTTCTGATCTCTTGGCCATACCAGTTCTACTCAATATTGATAGTGACTACGGATAACTGGGCAGCATTTTTGATGTTCTATATCAATCTCTATAACAATTTTTCATGCATTTCATGCGAGTTCCAGTTCGTCAGTCTATGCTGGCTGATCCAGTCTCGCATCAGAGGAATTTTGGAAGAACTCAAAGAAATACTCGTCAAGAATGTTATGGATGGTAGGTGGTACCTTAAAGCTGAAATATTACTTCAATTGTATAACTATGAATATATTTTGGATATATAGTTTGGTTTTATGTAACAAAATCTGATAGTAAGCATTTAAATTTGGCGATACAGAAACGTTGTTTTAATGGAAGTGTGATTGAAATTCAAGATTATGTTCATTCAGATACAATAACACGATAGCATATGGTAACTTTGTTAGAATACGTTTAGGCGACTTAGGATGATAGAAAATGACTTGTATAGCAGTTCGTAAAATACTTCACATTGTGACGCGGATTAAAGAGAATATTTTTACACCAGTCTCATGGAGTCTTCTCGTAAAGAATTGTAACCAAATTTTCTTATTGGAAAACGTGTCTTTGCACATTCACCATGTTTGACAATAATTAATGGAATGTCTGTAAAGAATGGTTAGTCCATCCACCATATTTTCAAATGCAATGCAATTTGCGGTCCTCTCCAAAAAATCTTGTTTCCGAAATATGTGAAGCGTTTTCATAGCGAATTGCTCTACCACATTTTCAAATGATATCTGCAATCATGTCATACCTACTTGTTTCAAACTTGAAAGAGATGATACACTTAAAGGTACGCGTCCAGGGTCCGCATTGTAAACGGATCAATTTCGGTCAACGCGGTAGCCATTTACAATCTTATTTCCATTTTTGACTGAAATTAGGTCACAACTGACAGAATAGAAATGAGCTGACGCCTTGTTCCTTAGAAAAAATCTATTTGTGCCTATGTGTGTCGCTGTCCGATGTGGATCAGTAGACGCACTGATATATTTTTTATACCGAAGTAGCCATGTAGACAGAAGCCTAAAACTAGGGCGCCGCAACTGCTATGAGGAGCTCAAATAAGCTTTGTTAGTCCTATTTTTGAACTGCCTAAGTTAGTAGAACTGAACTGAAAAGCCTCCTCACAGGGGCGGCTGGCCCTTAAGTTCTGCAGAGCTGCAGAACTGCCAATACTTTTATCTTAACAGAAAAAAACAGTAGTAATTTGATCATTATTTATTTCCCATGTGATCACACAAATAGAAACAATACCGGCCTGTCCCCGCAAGACACGGCGTCAAGTCTGAAGGAAAAATTGAGCTGAAGGTGTCAGGTCCACCGCTGCCGGACATATTTATAGAAACACAGGGCGTTAGTGGGGGCAAGGGCTGTACTCGGCATTTCAGCATGGAGATTTACACCAGAAATAACTGAATTTGTGGGTGCATCAGGAAGAATGCCCTTTTCTGATTTCATTGCATACTTTTCGGCGGTGACAAAGCTTGGACGGAGGTAGGTGTTACAGATTTAGTGCACTTGAGTGACAAAATTAAGAAGCATGTAAACTCTGAAACACATCTTCATAATTCGATGGAATTGGCTTTAATGGGGCGGTTAACATCAGAGCTCAGTTAGATTCAGCATATTATACAACAGCATAATGATACCGTTACAAAAAACAGGTACGACGAAACCGAGAGCTCCCAAAACCCGGGAATATTTCGTGGACTGATTGATTTTTCTGCTGAGCTTGATACAACCTTAAGCGAACACATAAAAAATGCTTCACTATTTAAACGAACTTCGAAAGAAATACAAAACGATCTACTGGATTGTATTCTTGAAGTTTGTCATGAAGAAATAATAAAACAGAGCCTCGTCTGGTAACAATTTTCAGATACGTATTTAACGGCGAACCAGTAGAACGTTTTTGGAATTATATGAATCCCGAAAAATGTGACGCTGATACTCTCACAAGACATTTTTTGAGCGTCGTAGATCCATTAATAGGAAATTTCCCTAACAAACTGATTTCACAAATCTATGATGGAGCCGCGGTAATAAGCGGACATAATGTGGAGTACAGGCAAAAATTAAACAAAGATATCCATTTGCTCACTATGTGCATTGCTATGCGCATCAGTTAAACCTGATTATGTCCCAAGCTGCTTCCGCAAATGCTCAAGTTCGGGTGTTCTTTGGGGATCTGAAAGATATTCCGGGATTTTTTAATAATTCTCCTCAACGCGTAGAGGTACTGAACAGAATTGTGGGGAAAAAAATTCCCCAAGAAGCAACAACTCATTGGAATTTTAATATTCGAACAATAAATGTGGTGTTTGAGATCAGAGAATCACTCATTGAATGCATGGAAGAAATAGAAGAAAATTTCACTAATGAAACTGTTTGCAAGGCAGCTTGCGGTATTCGTATGTTAAACGATTCTGTTTTCGTGTTTATCATGCCTCACGTCGACATCTTGTTCAACCAGTTGCAGAAGAGAAAAACCGAGCCAGCTCAAGTTAAAACGGCTATCGATAATTTTGAAAAATGTATACGTATAGGGTTGTCCAATAGGGACGCAGGAAAGTAAACGTCAATTTGACATAGACGCCATCTTTGTTTTCTGTAACCGACATGTCATTTTGTTAGTTGAATGTTTACCATTGATCGCTATGGAGTCGTATTCGATTGAAGACTGCATTAAAGTTATTCAAGAGCACTACAAAAATGGTGCAAAAATAAAAAACACGTTTCGCGCGCTTCGTGAACATTTCGGTCGCAACAACCGCCCAAACGAAACAACCATCGCTCGTCTGGTGCGTAAATTCGAGGCAACAGGTTCTATGGCAAATCTGCCAGGCTCTGGCCGGCCAAGGAGCGTTCGCACACCGGAAAATATTGCTGTTGTGAAGGAGAGTGTGAGAGACGATCCGAAACAATCAACAACGCGTCGATCCCAAGAATTGGGCATTTCGAGAACCAGTTTGCTCCGCATTCTTCACAAGGATTTGAATGTACACGCCTACAAGATCCAATTGACGCAAGAGCTGCGTCGGGCCGACCATTTTTCGCGCCGAACGCTCTCAGATTGGCTCCTTGAACACCGCCAAATTGATGCCAATTTTTCATCAAAAATCATGTTCAGCGACGAAGCGCATTTCACTTTGAATGGGACGGTAAACAAGCAAAATTGCCGCATCTGGGCGAACGAAAATCCCCGTGAGTATCAAGAGCAGCCGATGCATCCTCAAAAAGTGACTGTGTGGTGTGCATTGTGGTCAAAAGGCATCATCAGACCTTACTTTTTCGAAAATACGGCCGGGGACGCCGTTACCGTCAATTCTGAGCGATATCACGTGATGATAGAGGACTATTTTTTGCCGCAACTTGAAGGAATGGATATGGACGATGTTTATTTCCAACAAGACGGTGCAACATGCCACACAACCAACGTCAATATCCATCAATTGCAGTCCTTCTTCGGTGATCGCGTGATTTCGCGCAGAGGAAATGTGCCATGGCCACCAAGATCGTGCGATTTGACTCCCTTGGACTTCTTTTTATGGGGATATTTGAAAAGCAAAGTCTATGTCAACAAACCAGCCACCCTCCAAGAACTCAAAAACAACATCATTGTCGAGATAAATGCCATAGAACCGACCATGTTGCAAAATGTCATTGAAAATTTCGACCATCGCGTGGACGTCGTGAACATTTGAGCGATATTATTTTTCATACATAAATGGTATAAATGAACCTTCAAAATAAAGTACCCAACTTGATTTGAATATCTATCTTTCTTGTTTTAATATGCGTTTACTTTCCTGCGTCCGTTTTGGACAAGGCTTTATTTTCGATGTGAGAAATAAAATTGATGACATAATAAATGAAGCGAAAGTATTTGCACTGAACTCCAAGGCAACAAAAGGAGGCGACGTAATAATAGCAGTCACGATCACCGAGTTGCCGCATTAGAAGTATGCGACAATATAGTGAATTCTGCAAATGACAGATTTCAATTCAAAGATCATTTGGTAGCCGCATCTCTTATTTTCCCCGAACACTTTGGAGAATACTGTGGTAAGTTTCCTGACGACAAGTTGGAAACTACCTGCTTGGCTTATCCCGAATTAGAAAAAAGTCGTTTAAAGACAGAGTTGTCTGTTATTTATGCACGGAATGATTGCCGAGATTTACATGGAACTCTGTCTCTTTTGAAATTTGTGATACAAAATAGTTTGGACGAAACACTAAAAGAAACAAAAAAGCTATTAGAAATTATTGTTACAACTCCTATGTCAACATCAGAGGCTCAGCGAAATTTCTCACCATTGAAAAGAATCAAGACCTTTCTTCGAAACACTCAGGATCGCCTTACAGCGTTGTCGATGCTGTCCATTGAAAAGAAATTTATTTCGACCATGGAAAATTGCAACGGGAAGGTGATCGACAAATTTGCTGCCAAGAAGGAGCGCAGGATCGAACGGACATATAAAAAATAGGTAAGTTCGGATTTGCAGAACACCTGTTTTATTTTGCCACGAGCCGCCACTTGCTCAGGTAGATTGCAATTTCGGTGCTATATCGCATCATGGAAGAAAGCGCGGTGGCATCATGGAAGAAGGCTCTGAGGAGCAAACCCTACTGACATAGCGGTAGAGGAGAGCTACATGTGTGCAGTACTCGAGGCTAGGTCTTATCCGGGCCTTCTACAGGGTGAGGAGGGGGAGGAGTAAAGAAAAATAGTTCTTAGTCCTAAACAAATAGCTCAGCTCAGCTTTTTCCCAGCAGCTGCCGCTATTAACGAGATGTGTTCATGCCAGTTCAATTCCTCGGTGACCTGTTAATCTTGCTTTCTCCACCTCACCGGCAGAGATCGGCTTGTCACTCTGAATTCCTGCATGTAGGGTGCTGTTAGCAGCAAAATTGTTAAGACCTATCTCTGGAGAACACGCGCGTTGACGTCGTGAGATGAAGAGGAGAACCCACCAATTATGATGTATATCTTGTGGTCAGTCAGGAAGTGAGTAATCCATCTGCAAAGCTTCTATGGGAGGCCAGTTTCAAAGGCCTATCGTTGTAAGAGTCTGTCTCAGATCTTTTTTTGGGATTTTCCGGGGACGTGCCATATTCGTAAGATATCTGGAAGAGACGTCAAAGAACTGGACATCTTGTCAGTACTACAGCAGGTATCAAGTCCGAAACAGAAGCTTTGTCTCATTACTGAAGATTACTGCCCTCCTAGTGTAAGGAACCCTTCGATTCGGGCGTTGAGAGGGTAGATGACCGAGATAAATTTAACAACATTCAAAGGATTCAAAGATTTGTTTGGTGCGAATAGCCCGATACGTGCAAAGAGAAGCTGTAGACAGGTACCCTAGGCAGTCTAGTCTCAAAATACTAAAAACTCCATCAGCTAAGTTATTAGCATACATATAGCATAACTTTTTATGAAACACAGAGTATCTAAAACGAAGCGCGACCTAGTTTATACAAAAAAAAAACTAATTTTGGTGGAGCGGCGAAGCGGCATCAAATCCAGTTTTCCACTCTTTCATGGTAGGGGGTAATTAAAAGCAAATATATGTATATGTCCATAGGAATTTGCGATGAAATTTGAAATTCTTCAATTTATATGCAAATAGGCAAAAGCATAATAACCGTGATGTGCTAGGATTGGGACAGAGGATAAAGCGGATGTGTATTACAGCGGAGAACAGTAGCGCGCTAATACTATTTTGCAACCCCTCAGAATTCAACAATAGATAACTTACATAACAGAGATATATTTTTGATGTGCTGATATGAAATAGGTTAGATCATTCGTCGTTTCTCTTTCGTATCATTAAATAACATGATACTAACATTACTAGTTTTCTAGAAGTGTTGATCCGTAATTCTGTGAAGTTCTGAATGAGATACGAGTATGACGTCAGATATGTCGTCAAGCTACACTGATCAATTCAAAAAAATTGATTACCCGTAATGACTTATTCTAACTAAATCAGTCGGTCTCATTAAACTGAATTTTCTAGAACCAGTATATTTACTATTAAACTAATTTGCTTGAAAATAGCAAACTATGCACCTCTGTTATTAAACTGCTTAATTAGCTTGGGTAATTTAATTTACGTAGATAAGATAAGATGCAGGACAATCAAATATTTTAATAGAAACAGTTAAACTGTTTATTTAAATCGCGTACTCAACCTCGTAAATGATCGGGAGTATGCGACAGGCGCAGTGCCAGTGGTGATGCGCTTCGAGCTCCTCAGTTTTATTTGTGACTTTCGCGACAAGTTTCAGACTCGAATGTTGCCGTTGTTGAAATAGTAGCTGTGAAGTGGAACAATTATGGCGATCAAGCGAAATACTCAGAAGAAAGAATTGCTTTTAGTGACATGCTTCTGGACACTCAGATAAATAGTTAGTAAAACTTGACCCCTATATATAATAATAAGTTCAAAATCGATGAAAATAAAAAATGTCGAATGTTTTTGGAAGTTCTTATTTTGATTCAAAAATTTTCAAATTTAATTTTTTTCCATTTATACATATACGAATGTACGTCATTCAGTAAAATCCAATTTATTCTTTCAAGTTACGTTTAATTAAACTTTTTAGCTGTCACATAGTTGATTCACTTTTTTAATTGGCTTAATTAAATTTTTAACTGATTTGAATTTTTTATTAATTCCATTCTTTCCAGTGTATGGTAAAATGTGTCAAAAAAAATTGCATGAATGGACAGAACTGTTAGTTTAGATGGCTTTTGAACTAATTGAGTAATATTTTTTATCTTGTCTTTCAACAAATTAACGACCAAAAAGTGCGGCAATTCTGTACCTTGGCTAGCAGGAAGGGTCCTAGCGTACCTCCAGTTTCGGAGACTGGCCGAGTTCTTCTCACATCTCGTCAATTGTAACCGCTCCTGAAAAAGATTTGGGTTATTTTTTTACAACTACAAGCACCTTCCTCCTCATAACCCCCTTGATCAGGTCTCTCCAACTCAGGTGCCACCAGTGCAGCGCCGAGAACCGCTCGCATCACAGTGCTGCGAGGTGACTTTGTGAAGGTGGGGGAGGGATTAGACAGCGGCATACGCATCGCGAGGAAGGTGTTGTGCTAACCGTGCGACCCGGGAGCTGGTGGCATTGAGTATACCTTCATCGCGAATTCGACTAAATTTAGTAACAATATGTAGTTTTTAAGTAAATGAACAAGAAGAGCTCAGTAAGACGGGGCGCATCCTGCCAGAAGTACCTGTCATACCGACTTAAAGATACAGCGTGACAAGAGAATTTCACCGAATCCAATGAAGCCTACAAGGTTTGATGGAAATTTTAGGCTCATTTGGAAAAACACGGTATGACAAACTGATTTCCGCCAGAAGTTTCTGTCGTACCGACTGAAAGCTATAGCAGGCAATGCAAATAGATAAAAATAATACATCCTGTTTGTATACTTCATGCTTGCATTTAAAGGCTCATTTGAGTCTGTCAGTTTGACACCAGGCTTCTAGATGTTTGATAGTATATGTAAAATGAATATGAAACGTCATGACCATTGATATACGTATAGGTTATGGTAAAATCCTACCGTCACGTTGTATCTTCAAGTCGATATGACAGGTACTTTCATCGGCATACCAAGCCGGTTTTGTTCATTTACTTAAAAACTACATATTATTACTAAGTTTAGTCGAATCCGCGATAAGGTTTAATTTCGCCGGCTCCCAGCCCCAACGGAAAATGAGTGGAGTGACATTCGTAGTGACAACTGAATTGGTCTGATCGATTCAACGCGAGGGTGATAAAATAATGTTCATAATTTCGACGTAAACACATTTATTCTTAAGATGATCTGCGACAGCGTTTCTAATAATTGGTACAGTGGCTTGAGCAGTGGAAATTCTGAGTATCGCCTCTAAGGACACATCAGACAAAGACCTGCTTTTAGTTTTGTTCAAATTCTTTAAAGAAAACATCTGCTCTCAGAAGTACGTTGTACCGAACATGGAGCAAGTTTCCAAGGTCAGTGCAAGAATTTTCGGAAAATCTTGCTGCTTAAGGCCTTGATAAAACGCAATTAACTTACTATTGTAGTGGTAGTATCTATTCTTAAGGATCGTATCGCATTGAAGCTTAATCAGCTCCATTTGGAACTGCGGCGGTTTAGTTTTGAAAAGCACTGAAGATGACGTCGTAAAAATCTCATTTGCATAAACATCTCTACGTCGTCAATGATTTAGAAAAAAATCTTTAGCACTTTTGCGCAGCTTAACCGGCGCGTAACACACTAAAAGGGTATGTCACCGTAAGTTACTTCCAGGTCGTTTAAAAATACTTCAAACTGCCGTGGTTGAGACCTCTCTACAGAAATTGACACATGTTATTACTACATCCATAATAGATTTGAAATTACGGAAGGTTTTTGCACATAGTTGTTCCGGATGTAATATGCAGTGTACCGATGATATCGGAGGTAGCCCAGCGTCGCGTACTTTTATTTTCATTCGCCCCGTAAAACCTGGTGCTTCCGATAACATTGCTGGTGCTCCATCAGTAATAACACAATGTAAACTTTTCAGCAGTATACCCATGTCATTCATTGTGTATTCTACAGCTTCAAAAATTCAAAACAGCTAATTATGGGTGTGTCAGAAATGTCTTTACTTTCGAGAGCTATAGAATACTGCACAAAATGGGCACATTTTCCCGCAGTTGTTCTTTTAAATCTGCACCAAGTTCAAGTATCCGACGAGAAATTGTTTGCTCGGACATACTAATTGTTTCAAAGTTGCTTACAGGAGATGGGCAAAATATTTATGCACACTCCACTAAGCGTTTTTTGACTAGTGCACAGTCAGTAAACGGACTCCCACATTTTGCGATTTTCAAAGAAACAATATAACTTGCATTGCGACACCATTAATAATAATCAACTACGACCAAATGAATAATTACCTCTTCAGAACTTAGAAGGGCTGGCCTGAATACCGTGTGACAAATTAAACATTTTGCTTTTTCATCAGTATTTACAAAAAAAAGGCTTCTTCCATGCAGGATTGAATGACATCGTTTAAAAAAAGATGCACGTTAAGACGCTAAAAAACCTGTCCACTTTATCTTGTCCTATTTAGAAATGGCCCGCGCCCGAGAGGCAGTCGGCTAATATGTATCTCTCTGTCAGCACGGCTGTGCGGTCGAGGTGGAAGGGGAACGGCACCGGTGCCGCACCAGCACCAAGTGCTCGAGTTGGAGAGGCCTGCTCTAAATCGTCACAAGGCGCAGGTCCCAGTAATCAGATTTACTTCTAATAGCATCTCTTTCTAAATGTACGTAGTTAAATAACAGACCGCACATCAATAGAATGTGCTGAAAATATATTGCAAATCCCTATAAGGAGCAAATATGACACTTGAGAACATACATTCTGAGAATATTTGCATTTTAAGTGATTTAACAGTCCTATAGCATATCAAATAAAAATAATGTTCTAAGCATGTGCTTCTAAGAATATTCTCATCAGGTGATTTGGCAGTCTCTCCAGAGAGCACAGATATATCCAGTGGTTGTCCAATAGATATCCATGGTGGATATCCAAGATTATTCACTGGGTGGACAGATACGTCCAATAGATATCAGTTTGGATATCCAGTTGTCCGTCCAGATCCAAGAATCTGAATATTACAATGCTATGTTGTTATGTATTTAATCTACTCTTCGGATATTCACAGAATACCTATTCGTAAAGTAATCAGTGGTTCATCATAGAAACATCTGCCAAGTCCAATTTCAAAACGAAGAAGGATAACTGGAAACCTAACAAAGCAAATTATAACCGTGTATTCATGCAAAGTCAAAGTTCCATTCTATCTTATTCTAAAGTTCTATTTTTGTTTTTCTTGCTCTATTCATAAATTTCATGCCTCTCTCCATCATGAGTAGCAGCAGAAGCTAATTTATTCTCACCACCAATAATTGAACTTTCTATTAGGAGGTGTTTTTGGAGTTTATGATCTTGTAAACATCTAATTCAATGGTCATAATAATTTTCAGTAGTCAGATGAACTGAGGTGAATAATAATTTTTTTTTTTTATACTCCAACTACCACGAAGGCCTAAGGCCTAAGCACCCATTGGGTACCGTGGGGCTATGGGGGATACATGGGAAAGGGGGGACGCCACACGGACTCTGGCGAGGGAACACGTGTGCATGCAACATGCACACATTATGGCTCCGCCTACGAGAACCGCCGGGTGGTACCTCCGCGTTCGACAGTCAGAGACCATCTACCACCTACGGACAATCACAACATCCATGGCCAAGAGAAACATTTCTCCTGGGACGGGACTCGAACCCGCACAGCGCACGGCGGCTGATCAGGAGACCGAAGAGTCTACTACTGCGGCCACCGCTGCTGCCTAAAACAAACACACAACATCCATGGCGAAGGCGAGATTCGAACTCGCGGCCCGGCCGGCCGGCTGATCAGTAGCACGGCACTCTGACCCACGCGGCCAACCGAGGTCCCAATTATCACGAACCTTACCTTTATCCACAACACACACTCTAAAATAATGTAACACTGGGACACACATCGGCAGAACACTATTTTAGATACGCACAGACATGGAAAAAACAAAACTCGAAACCGGTTACCATTATGCCATTGGTCGCTGTCACAGGCGCATGCGCGATAGGCCGAAAATTCATCTGATGGATTCTGACTCACCTTTTTATTACCTGTTCGAATTTTACTGTCATGAACAAGATTTTGTATCGGCATGCCCTAAAAATGAATGTTCTTGGCATATGAGCAAATGGGTAAATATGATTTAAAGGGATTTGAGCGGTATGTGCCAAGGAAGTACTCAGGAGGAGCAAGAGGGTGCAATAGATACACTTTTTTATTCCCTGGTCGGATGCTACGGTCACACAAGAAGATTTTGTATCGGCATGTCCTAAAAAGCATAGTCTTAGCGTATGAGCAAATGGATAAATATGCTTTAATGATGAACCGTATGTGCCAAAAGCGTACCAAGGGGGGCAAAACAAGGGTGTTTTAAAACTGGATTAGATAAAATCTATGTTAGGTATAAACTTAAGACTCACCATGAATGTCTAAGTTGTTGCAGCAGTTACGTCGCTGGATAGCTTGAGCAATTTTAAATATTTTTTGTTAATCACTACAAAGGCCTTAACGTTTGGCTCCTATATCATATTTACTCTTATGCACTTTTCGACACAAAAATAAACATTTTTTTCCAATAACAAATTAACCTTTGTAACGAACTGGAGATATCTATTAGTTCTCATTTTGAAGGTGTTTGCATCCCTTTCCCAGTTATAACTTAAAAGTTGCCCAGAAATTTTTATTTGGAGATGAGGGACCTTAGCAATCACTCTAAACAACATATAAATCCTTCTGTGCAATTTATTTTACAACCGGGTCCACGTTTGGCCAGTTAGCCAGATAAAAGTGATTGGAATATCAGAATTTTGCCGCATTTCACTATCTTTGAATCCTTCACATAAACTCTTAACTACGTCATAAAATATATTAACAAACAAAGTTAAACTTCTTTATGAATTTTGTCTCCGCTAAAGGCCGTAAGTATCGTCATCTTTTTTTTTTTGAATTGTAGCAAATTTCAGGCTGATAAAACATGATATAAATCAAAAGCATAAACAATTTGATCGAAATAGATATTTGTAACATAACTTCAAAATAGAGCAGTGACACGGAAAATCAGAAAACTATGAAAATCAAGGAGGCCATAAAGGCGTCCTACAATAAACTGTAGCAACGACTGACGATACGGCCCTAAGAAAAATTTTGATTGCGTTCAAAACCATCAGAACCAAAAAAAAAAGATAAAAGTCAAGTTTGGGGGAGATAGATTTTTTGGTCATCATATCCAGTGTTGCTTTCCAAGTCATAGAAGGACCAATTAATAAATTAGTTTTTTTGACGGTTACTGTATCGTATATGTGATGTGATATAGGGCCAAGAATTATCTGTCGAATGCCACAAAAAAATGTACCTACTATGTTCCATCTGAAAAATATTCTGCCATTTGAAGTTTTTGCGCGATTACCTGGCCTATTAAAGTGACTAGAAAATGAGCACCTTGTTTGAATTTTGAGAAATATGTACCCCTGAACAAAAGGTATATAAAATTTGTAGTATAGCAAACATTTGTCATATATATCGTATTATCGTATATTATCTCAAATGTTGCTTTCAAGTATTGTAGACAAATAAATTATTACTTAAACTAGCATCTAGTGCAATATTTGCTTGAATGTTTCAAAAAAGTACCTAATCATGGTAGTATTCCATATCCATATGAATTGTCAAATTATCGTGGAAGACTATAGTGAAATGCAAACAGAACAAAAAATATCAAGCATAGTTAAGTAAATATGTTTTGTGGAACTTCCGCCACATTTTTTTCAAGGTGTCCCCCTTCCGTTTTGAGCTGGATACGCCCTTGGTATGTGCTGAGAACAGAATATACTTTATTAGGATCTAAAACATACATCACAAGAATATGATATACGTACAGTTCCATGTTTACTAGATTAAGACCCAGCCTCTCGAGAACTGCTCACATGTTTGGGGTGCTTCCGCTCCAACAACACTGCCCATAATCGGTGCTGTTCAGAGGAGGTTTTAACTGATCTATCTATTGAGATTGAGGGACAATGTGCCTGAAGAAGCATTTCTGTTCTGACACCTTTTAGCAGTTCAAAATCGGATTAACAAGTTGTCTTTAAACTGCCTATAGCATCTCGTGGTGCTTCGGCATTTATAGGTTTCTGCCTACGTGGTTGCTTCGGTATAAAAAAGTTTGGGAGCGTAGCCACGTAGTGATTAATGGTTTAAAAATTTGCGAATTCGCTCATAAATTGACCAGTATTTGGGTGCCGGCTGCATCACTATAAAAAACACAATGGTTACACATGGGTCGTGGTGGCGTTTAGGCTTGCATGCTACTCTTACTGTAATTTCTGGTTCTTTGACCTTTTTATAACTATCGCAGTGCCTCAATATTTAATTCCCGTGCAATTGATACCCCATGTAGGTCAGAACATATCACTCCATTCTTCGAGCAAGCAGAACTATTGGGGTCTTTGCGCTTCGCGTACCATTTGTCCAGCAGGTTTCTTACCAGACATTCTTCATTTCAGATGGTTCCATGATGAACAAACTCAAACGTTTAGAGAAATCCACCAAACTGCTCACGGAAATCTGCGTTAAGATAAACTCGCTGTACAACTTCCAACTATTCGTCATTCTCAGTGGGCTCACTCTGAATACCTTGTTCAACTTCTATTTCGCAATTTTCGGAGGATTTGAAAAACACTCTCACAAGACTAGTATTTCGTTCCAAAAGATATCAAACATTGTCAACGATGTGCTGTGGAGCTTCTATTACTTTGCAAGGTTCTTTTTTATCTGTGTGGTGGGAGGACTTGTAACTGATAAGGTAAAATATCAATTCTTTACAGCACTCTCTACAACAAATTGCCTATAAATACGTATATAACTGGCAACTTCAGAATCCCTCGAGTAGAAAGATTTGACCCAAGAGATTTTTTTCTTTGCTGTGGATGTTGGGTTTGTCTGCAAGTGGTAGACGGTCAGTGATCGTCGAACGTGGAGGTACCACCCTCTAAGATGGCGTATATTTCTGTACCTCAGAGCCAGACTAGGTTAGTCCAAATGAGCAGTTTTGAGATAATTGTATTTAAAGTATTTTTCTTGCATTGCATACGACTTGACATGCGTTGAAAAGTCGTAACTTTCTTATTATTACAGATAGATGGACGCTGCATGTAGCAAATGAAAATTCACAATATTTATTATCATAAGCTTAAAATATTGAACTTATTTTTGACAGAAAGGGTCTTACCTAGTCTGACTCTGGGGTACAGATTTAGGCCTTAGGGCTGTGCTGACTCATGTGTAAAAGAAACTGGTACACCGAAGCGCCTCGATTAAAACTCCTCGTGAGTCGTGAGTCGTGGCGCATCAATTCATCTATATGTTTCTACTGACTGTTAAGTGACATCACATATAGTATATGTAAATAAAACATGTTTACTGACGTTTCGGCCACCTCGGCCCACAGTCATTAGATATATAAAACATGAAAATAAATCTACTAGTCAACCACATGATGAGATTTAAGGGTTGGATTAATAATCTTACTTAAGAAACGACTGAATAAAGTTCTGATATTATCGATTAGGTTTTCCTTTGTCACCAAAAATAATGTCTCTTATTCGTATGACAATGTAGCACTTTTAATAATTAGCATAAAGTTACATTTTAATTTACCTTTGTAGGCAAATCAACCAAAAAGGATCATCAGTGAGATATTATTGAAACCATTTTCCGAAGAGATAAAGCAAAAGGTATTCAATTTGTTTAAGGCAATCTTTAGAAGAACTGTTTGATAAAATAACTTATTTTCAGTTATGGGAGTATCTGGTTTATGTTAAAACACACAAAATCGAATTTTCTGCATGTGGGTTTTTCAAAGTGAACATAGCGCTGATAACATCGGTTTGTATACCGCGCTCGACAAAAAAATGTATAAAACTGTTTTACTTTTAGGCAGTGTCCATTGGAACAACATACCTGGTGATATTGGCCCAATTCCAAAACAAGCAATAATGATTTTCTTAAGCCAACAATCAATGAGAAGCTTTAATATTAATATAGCATCTACCGCTAGCATAGTTGTAAAAACAGCAATAATTACGAGATATTCAAATATAAACATGTTTAGTATTGCGTAAGTGGTGTGCTTCCTACCTCATGCATCTCAGTCCCTTTTAAGTGTGCTTTTGTTCTAAAACAAGCTAAATTATGTTATAGAATGAAAATGGCGGATAGGTATATGTATGCACGATGGCTCACAAGAAGTCTAGTTCTATGAGGACGTAAACTCCTACTGTCTTGGAAAAGACATACCTTCTGTCACTTGTCACTGTGATCTGACACAGCCGTCGCGTCAGAACTAAAACTAACCTAATTTTTGTGCGTCCATTTCGTTTGTTTTCGCTGGGATTTTTGGGTTTATTGCAATTTTATGGAATATTCACGCCTGTAAAGTAGTAAAGCATCTATTCTCAATATAAATTAGCGATACTTCTGAAGCGTGACTAAAAAATGGCCGATTTCTACATTCGTTACTATGTCGGTCACAAAGGCAAGTTCGGTCACGAATTTTTGGAGTTCGAGTTCAGGCCCGATGGCAAGCTACGGTACGCTAATAATTCCAACTACAAGAACGATACTATGATCAGAAAAGAAGTCTACGTGCACCCTTGCGTTATGGACGAACTGAAGCGGATCATAATGGACTCTGAAATCATGCAAGAAGATGATTCCTTGTGGCCTCCTCCAGATAGAATTGGCAGGCAAGAGTTAGAGATTGTGATCAAGGATGAGCATATCTCGTTCACCACCTCGAAAACGGGATCTCTTGTGGATGTCAGTCAGTCAAAGGATCCAGAGGGACTCCGTTGTTTCTACTACCTTGTTCAAGACTTGAAGTGTCTTGTGTTTTCATTGATTGGACTGCATTTTAAGATTAAGCCTATATAATTGATTATATTTGTGCGTGTGGATAAATTTAAAAATGATTCACAATAAATGTTTTCTAGAATGTAATATTTTCATCAAAAATATGAAGATCAATTTAAGCAGAAGGAATAAACTTATGGTAATTGTAATAAATAGTTTTTGATATCCTGTTTCAACAAAAATTATGAATATTAATCCATTGCTCAATGATTTTAGAAACAGTGAAATGTATGCTGTACATAAAACATACCTTCCAAGGGTATGATAACTTCTGTTTGCCATATGTTTGCTTTATTTGAAAGTACACAAAATATATGTATGTATATGTATAAATACAGTGGACCTCCGCTAATCTGACAAACATTATGCAGGGCAGTGTTAGACTATCGAATTTGTCGGATTATAGAGCACTGCTTAAGACTCCCTATAGTCTGGAATTTTTTACAAAAGAGTACCTTGTAATCCGACAAATTACATATCCAATGGTAAGATTATATATGTTATGTACCTGTATATGTATGTACTTTGAAGTACAAATCATACATAGTTTATGTATGTCGAATTTAGTAAATAACAATAGAGAGCTTACGTTTTATTATAAAATTAAGTATAAATGCACATACATATGTACCAAAATAATCAAGAATTATTAATCAAAATAATTAATAAATTTATCAAATTGTGAAACTTTGAAATATTCATCAAATTTTTTTTGTTTAAGGTTGTTATAATGCGAGATCAGAGCTTTGTCCCTCAGTCTCCTCAAAAGTAAAAGTTTGTTGTAGGATGTACCATTCTCTTTATCCATTCCACGGCACCAGATTTCCAAATCCGGACTTATCTGTGTTTCAGTAGCGACTTGTTCTATAACTTCCGAAGTAACACTGATTTGTGGAACGTTGCTGGGAGTGGTGACTATCTGGCCATAACATTTTCCAAGACGATTTAATAGTTGATGATGGTAACGCATTCCACGGCTGACAAAGAGCAAACACCAAGTCTTTCATATTAAAGTTTTTTCTATTGGTTGGTATTTTGATACAGCTCTCAGAAGTAGGTTTTTCTTATAGTCTTACTTGAAAAACTGATATTCTGGTCCATTGGTTGAATCAGTGCAGTGCAATTTGGTGGAAGAAACATCGCAGTGATGCATTTATCCTCAGTTGTTAGATCTTCTTCAGACGGATGACCGGGAGCGTTATCAAGAAGCAACAACACTTTTTGAGGAAAATTATGATCTTTTAACCATTGTCTAACTTAAGGTACGAAGCATTCATCAAACCACTTTTTGAAAAGGTCTTTGGTCATCCATGCACTTGTTTGACCATCATCTTAAGCGCGTGTGTGCCCGCAGCCTTAGCACATGGTAGTATGGTTACATGCTCTTTACTTACTTTTCGTCCGGGTACGGATTTTTCGTTACAAGAAACGAAAGTTTTGTTAGGCATCACACGCCAAAACAGCCCTGATTCGGCTGCATTGTACACCTTGTGACGGGTCAAGATTTAAATCGTTCACCTTTTGCAAAAATCTTAATTCAAAGGGCTCTATGCAGGTGGCATCGTTAGAAAGTGTCTCTCCTGTAATAGTCATTAAATGTATGCCATGACGACTTTTAAAACGTTCTAGCCATCCTTTGCTGGCCACAAAATCATCTTTTTTTGTTATTTCCTTATAAAAAAACTTAGCTTACATGGGTCCTGAAATTGGTGCATACCTATTTCTTTCCTGAAGTACCCACATGTACAAAGGTTCTTCCTCTTCTGGATGTTCAGCTTTCTTGAGTGTCTGTCTCTTGACTGGCCCGCAGTCAGTAGTTGACACGAACTTCTTGATCTTCTCGTGGTTTCTTTTATTGTCATAAATTCTAGATTGGCCTACGCCGTATTCACTTGCTAAACTACTGAAAGTTTCATTGCGATTTAAGCTGTCTAAAATATCACATTTTTACTACACTTAATACACAATGAATAAATAGTAAATGATGAACGCACGCTAGGCCGTACCGCTATCACCAGTAGTCAAATTTAAACTAAGTAAAATAATGCTTACGCACGATAGCGGTGGCGCGTACAAGTTGTAACCTGCTTGATCTACATTAGCGAAGATTGTCAAATACATATACGTAATACATATTCAAATACATGTCGGATTACAGGGGGCGCCGGATTATCGGGGGTCCACTGTATTAGACTATGCCAGAGCAGCTTGTAGCTATGCAACATTGTACATATCATTAATTTGTACAGTGTCTTGTATTCGATGGAAATTGCTTGATGAACTCACTTCATTCAAAAAGATATAAATTGGTTTTCAAAAATGATTCATTTAAATATTGAATCAGTCGTTTTTATTAAACAATTTTTGACTAATCTGTTGATATCAAGTGGACAATATGCTATTCTCATGTTGTGACCCAAATGAGGTTACTTTATTGTGGGCCACAGTAGTAATAAGATATGTACTGTCTTAAAAAAAAAACACCTTTATTGCATTGTATTTCCTATAAAAACTACATGTCATGTCAAATGTCATAGTCATCTTGATGATACAGCTCAGAAAGCAGGCGATAGACATAAGATGGTGAATTTCCTCCCCTAAAAGATAAAAAATATATATTATCATCATACCACCTAGAAAATAATAGAATTTTTGAAACACCTTTAGAATATAGGATTATCAAAGCAGTTATTATTATAAGGGATGATACATACTGATGTGATATAAATAGAGTGACAAGTTCAGGTGGCACATAATCATATACAGGGTTGTTCACTTCAATTTTGTCCAGTATGGGCCCAAAGGCATATGGAATGACATTTGCTGGAGATGCACATACATTAAATGCTTCATGATTGTGCGATCCTACATAAATTGGACAGAATTTGTACATATGGGATAGCACCATCACCTGAAAAAAAAAAACATTATGTAGACCAACACAACATAAAAATTTCAGCTAAATAACTAGGTATTCCTATGATAACTTTGACAAAGGTTTGAATTGCCTATCCCATAAGATAGCACGTTGCTCTCTTTTGACTGTATGTTGGAGAATAATCCCTCCTGTTTGCCTGGCCAATCAAACTAAATATGTTTAAAATTATTATTTATTGCATGTTTCAGTTTCAATGGTGATCTTCCCTACAATTGTCTTTTTTTCTAAATTCTGCCATAGAGACTAAAATGTATACAATACAAATTTTGAACACATAGGGTTTGATTGGCTAGACAAACATGGGCAATTATTGAAAATCAAAACCACAGGATAAGACATTACAATGGAGAATTTCAAGCTGTCCATAAATAAGTGGATAACTCAATGAAGTAAAAAATTTAACTTGCATAAAACTAGACAAATGTTTTAAAATTCTTACAGGTACAGAATAATGTTTGGCAGCAAGAGCTACTGCATGAATTCCACTTGCAGCTCTTAATCCTCCATTTGCTAGTACAGTGTGAGTCCCAATGATAACTTTGTTTACTCTTGACATCATGGCAAAAACTGCAGAGTCAGCAATAACAGTTGTCTGGATGTTGCTTTTTGCTAAGCTTGCTGCCATTGTGTGACCCTACAATACATTCAATCAAGTTCAAATCATAAGAAAACATCATCAGTAATTAAATCCCCATGGTGAATGCTGCACACTAGTATTTACTGTAGCTCTTACCATCAGTATTTACTGACAGGACTGCCAGCATGAGTAGAAGTTTGGGGAATCTTATAAACTGATAAATACTGACGCCCTACGAGTCATATTCAATAAATACCAAGCATGTAGCATTCTCCCAAACCATCCTTAGGCAGAGGTTATAGATAGCTAAATAAAATACTGATAATGTGCTATAATTTTATAGACAATTCAGATTTAATCACTATTGACTTACAGCATAGAGTGGTGCTCCTTCAACAACAATAACATTGAATATTCTATCCTTTGCAGCTCTCTTCAAAAATTTCTCTACCGTGTTTGATTTTCCTACAGTCAATATGATTTCATTAGTATGAATGTGCTCTAAGGCTTGAGCTGCAATATTATCAGAGCTGAAATAAAATAACAACCGTAATTCAAAATTCATTTTCTTATAATTATTTTTTACCTAGATTCAAGTTCGACTTTGTATTCAGTTAGGTGATCCAAAATGCTGGATCTCAAGTTTATGAGTGAATCAGAATAATCTAGTACATTGCTTGGTGTGGATGTTACTAGTTCATGCAGTGATTGCCCTTCATCTTTTTTCTAGAAAAAAGTTATTCATAATTATTCTTCATCACATCTTGTTTAGGATATTATTAATTACCTTAGATGCAGACTGATATTCTTCTCGTATGACTTTAAGAATATGTCTCATAATATTAGGTGCAGTGGCTTCTTGAGGCAGATTCTCTCTCACTAGTTGTATCCTTGTTTTCACCAAGTTCATGAGCTCCCTATGGAAGTAAAAGTGAGCGCTGCTATTACAAAAAAATATGACACCTTATACTTAGCACTTTTCCAGTGGCCTTTCGAAATTAATTCTTGTAATAGTTCCTCAGTTCGTAGGGCAATGTCATAAGATCTTGTAAACTTTCTATAATAAAAATGTGTGTTTTAGCAGACCAAACAGATGGAAAGTGTGTCTTTAAAACCTACTTATGTTGAATGTCACTTATCAGTCGGCTTATATCCGACAGGCTTTCTATTTCAGGCATTGTAAACTACAATAATTGAGCTCCTGAATAATAATTAAAGGTTTTCGAAAGTTAACCAAAATAAATTGTAATGAAATTCTTTGGTTAACAACTGTCACGTTGACACGGCTGTCATGAGCTGTCATTCAACCCATCTAGGAAAAAAGGCGTGTTAAATTATGCCGCTTTTCCATCGTCAGCACTACTCAGCCTGGAAAAGGGGCGTGATTCTCTGCATGTTTTACTCACTCGTCTTGCAGCGAAATCCAATATTCTTTACCAGCACAACGACGATGAAAAATATCACGGAGTCCAGTTCTAAGTGAGGTGACATTTCCTCACATAACCTATTTGTTTTATTTTGATTTTTGTATTTGGATTAACGGAGAAAAGATACAAGTATGTTGGAAAAAATAGGAAAAACAGCAGTAGGTGCTTTAAGAAATTTCCACACAACTCATGCTTACCTATGGAATATTCCCAAACAAGCTGAACTAGACATATTCTTCTTGTGCAATCCGAGTAATCTGAGTAATATAGAACAAAATATAGCAAATAGAAAAGGAATTGGGGACATCAGGCGGGCACATGAACTGAAAACGCGACTAGATAAGACCGACACATCTTCTATTGAGTACAGCAAGTTGAAAGAAGAGCTTTATCAAGAGCTGCTCAGGATTCCAAATGAAACTCATCCTAATCTAGCCAAAATGGAAGAAGAACCAAAGATATTGAAGCTGGTCAATGAAAAACCGTATGAAGGTTTCAAATATTTAGAATTTCATGAGATAGCAAAAAGACTTAAGTTGGTAAGGACTGAGCAGCTTGGAAATGTTAGTGGAAACAGAAGTTATTACCTTTTAGGAGAAATGGCAGAATTGGAACATGCTTTAGTGAATTATTTTTTAGAAAACTTGATTGTAAACCATGGTTTTGAGCTAATTTCAGTTCCCGATATATTACCTAGAGATGTTATAGAAAGATGTGGGATGAAGACTAGAGGAGAAAGAAATCAAGTATGTTGAAATTTTGCTTAGATCAATATTTAAACTTCCCAGAGATTTCACAGATTCTGTGGATAGAACAGTATAGAAGCGATAATATGTCATTACTATTATCTGAGTTCACCTAAATTTACTGTAGGATGGTCTTCATATATTATTTTCTATGGTTACCTTTAACTCAAATAAAAATTGACACATCATAAATGGTGATAGTCCTAAAAGACAATGGCTACTTTGAAATCAACTCATTATATTTTACGAGTCCAGCAATATTTTTAGGTATATAGCTTAGATCCAACTCGGCATGATTCTGACCTATGCTTATCAGGAACATCAGAAATGTCTCTAGCAGGGTTCTTGAGTGGTAAGGTTTTTAAAGAAGAAGAATTGCCAAAAAAGTTAGCTGCAGTTAGTAGGTGTTTTAGAGCAGAAACTTCTAGTGTTGCAGAGGAAAGAGGCATATTTAGGTATGAGCTATTATATGATCTGAAAATACCAGCTTCAAATCATTAATGGTATTTCTGATACACACACCTTCTTGGTGAAAGATATTTTTTAGACAAAATTCATCATGAACATGTTGTTCACAGAAGGAATGCATTTAGTTAACTTTTGGAAATGACATTTTTTTTCTGAGTCATTATTTTTATTTCCATCGTTCTGAATAAAACAAGACATTAGTATATTTTCTCAAAACTTGCATATACCACACCAATTGCATATTTTTTTAGAGTACATGAGTTCACCAAAGTAGAGATGTTCGTTGCAACAAATCCTATGATGTCCGATAAGCATTTAGAAGAGATATGCACAATACAGGAGAAAGGCTTTGAATCTTTAGGGTTGCACTTTCAAGTTCTTGACATGCCTCCTCATGAACTGGGTGCTCCAGCTTATAGAAAGTATGACATTGAGGCATGGATGCCTGGCAGAAAAATGTTTGGAGAAATTTCTAGTTGCAGTAATTGTACTGACTATCAGTCCAGAAGGTATGCAGCATAGTATATTAGATCTGGTTGTAGAATTGCTAGTTATCTATATTTGGCAGTTAACTGTCATATAAAATGCATATTGCTGATTGCCAAATTTAACTAGAAATGAGTGTAGATTGTAGAAGTTCATGCAAATACAAGTATGTGTCTAATAACATCACAGTCAGCCCCACAATTGATGATTATATTCACTATCACATTTTATCTAGGTGTACCGCGCGTAATATATTAGGACACGTGAATATTACAGTCATTTTCAAACCCCTCCCCCCCTACTTATTTCTTGTATGGGTCAATTTATTAAGTTAAAGTTTGTGGTGAAGGAAATTGATGCATGGATACTATATTTTAGAATAAAAGTAGCGTTTGGAAGTGCAATTTTGGAAAATTTTCCCAAGTAAATTTATGAACAGTAATAACTTTATAATTCTAGAATGAAAAATACCTATCCTCCAAAATGGCGAATTGGCTACCTGTCAAAGTTTAGGGCCATATCGTCAGTCATTCCTACAATTCATTGTAGAACGCCTTTATGGCCTCCTTGATTTCCTTAGTTTTTCCTCTCCTTCAGAAAGGGATATTTCTAGGTTTCTATCTATACGGTTCCGTGTCAGCGTCAGCGCTCTCCTATTGTCAGGCTCTTCTTGAATTGTAGGAAATTTCAGACTATATAACAGATGATATAAATCAAAAACATGAACAATTTGATGCAAATATATATTTGTAACATAACCTCAAAATAGAATGCTGACATGGAAGAGTAGAAAAATATAAAAATCAAGGAGGCCATAAAGCCATCCTACAATTTATTATACGACTGACCATACGACCCTTAGTGCTTTTGTACATTGAGTTACTTTTGACTCACAACCATTTATCGAAATGCTATAGTATATTGTATCAATCTTCATGTCTCTGAAAGGTCATTTGCTGGGGTATAAGTTATTCAATGTACACAAAAAAATTGATAGCCTGCTTATACCCTATTTCACGAGTATCCATCACACTTTGACGTCTACTGAGGTGAACAGCTGATCAGCAACTGACTTTTTTGTGTTAGTCTGCGACGTTGGCAGTAATGAATCGGGTGTAAATCTAGTAAAACTTGTAGCATTTTGTTATTTGTATGTAAATGAACTTTTCTAAATAAAAGACCTGTTAGCAAGTACAAAATGAATCTGTAGCATACAAAAAGCCAAAACTAAATATGGCTCTGACTATCTGGCGTTGACGGATCCGTCAGAACTATGTGTCCTGTGCCGATATGGGGAATTTTGAGATATTACTAGACAATAAGCTGTCATTCTACCGTGATGGATCTCATGAAGTAGGGTACAAGGTAGTACTCATATACCCTATTTCACGAGTATCCATCACGGTAGATTGGTAGAATGACAGTTGATTATCTAGTGATATATCAAAATTATCCATATCGACACAGGACACATAATTCTGACGGATCCGTCAACGCCAGGCAGTCAGAGCTGTATTCGTTTTGGTTTTTTGTCCACTACAGATTAATTTTGTACTTGCTAACAGGTCTTTTCTTTAGAAAAGGTCATTTGCATATAAAAAGCAAAACGCCACAGACAAGTTTTACTAGATTTTCACCCGACTCATTATTGCCGACGTTGGAGACTAACACAAAAATGTCAATTGCTGATCAGCAGTTCACTTCAGTGGATGTCAAAGCGTGATGGATACTTTTAAAATAGGGTACAAAAAGCTTCTAAATGAGACGTCACATAACCCCATATTCCATTTAAAAAAAGTTTACATGACGGCGCCCAGCTGCAGTCTAGAAATCGTCAACTGTTATTTTTATTTCAAAATAAAGAAATCATTAGTCAATTACATCTTTCCAAATTTCAGCTTGCTTGTATCCGTTCAAAAAATGGGTAGGAGGGAACCTTTCTGAAAAACATGTTCTTTGAAATTCCACAAGTTTTTGATGCTAATCAAAAATCTATGTATATCCCCACGGTACCACATGGGTGTTTAGGCCTTAGACCTTCGTGGTGGCTGGATTATAAAAAAAATCTGAAATTGGCATGAAAATCCCCTTGCTGAGTACATAAATCAGGAGCGTAGGCTCTGAATAAATCACTAATAGATTTGTCAAACCTCATTTACCTGTAACAGCAGGAAGCGAAAGACAATTTTCAAAAAGACTAGATTGTCATTGAGAATTCGCTTTCTGTATAAGTTAAATGTATTGGTACCAAATCCGACATGTGAGTTTGATGCTTGGGCTCATGTTTTGCCTGGAATTTTTAACCGCGGCACTTAGTTTTGGTCGTTATATTTGAAATCAGCGCCCCAATTTGCCTAGGTATACAAAAACTAATCCGCTACAGGATTCATATTTTGAGGGCTCATTGGAAAAACTTTTGATAAACATCTGCTGCTCATGTGTGATATGAACAAAAACCCGTCTCCCGAGTAAATCAGGTGTGTAGATTGTGAATCTGGCAGCAGTTTAGTACCAGGATCTATGAGGGTTTTCTAGCATCCTATTTCCTGTCCCAAATTAAGACCTACGACACTTTACAAGATTTTTTTGATGTTGGCAGCGATGCCCAGTGTTGCTGCCGCTAGGCAGCGCTTGTTTGGCCTGACGTCAAAAGCAGACGGGAAAAAGATTTGAAGAAATTTATATTTTTCACGACCTCATCACGTTTTGACGTCACGAACAGCCGACCAGAAATTGACATCCTAGTGCAGTGGGCTTTTCCTCCAATAGTGAAACACCTCAATTCATTTTTGATTAACGTTATTCTGTCCAGTCTTTGTTAGTAGGTACTGCAACGTAGTTGCGGTCAGTCCTCTGCTTGCCGCAGCATTTCCGCTGACCAATATTACTTGCAATTTCTTGTAACAATACTATTCCGGTGTGTTTGTACCATACTACACTTGTCTGTTTATAACCTTGACATGACCTAAGTAGCGACATCTACTTCTAGCTTTCCAGTTTACCCCTTATTCTGCGAGTCAAGTTATCTAAGTGAAGCACTTATACATACCTACAGTTTTTAATACTATACTTACTGATTTTTCAGACTTGGCATCAAGTACGTCACAAAGTTCGGACACGAGCGGTTTGTGCACACGCTAAATGGTACAGCTTGTGCAATACCGAGGTTGTTGATAGCCTTAACAGAAACCTTCCAGCATGAAAAAGGCTATATTAATATTCCATTAGTTTTACATAAATATATGAGAGGCAAAACGACGATATCTAAGCAGAAACATATACCAGAATTGAAACTTGTGAAGCATAAGAAATAAAGTTAGTTACAAAGCCTGATAGATATTAGTTTTTTCTGTTCAAATGCGTTTTTACTACAAGGTTGGTTGATAGAATGAATGAATGAATCGTGAAATTAGAGGCATTCCGGCCACCATAAGGAGCCAGTGCATAGGCCGCTTAAGCGGGCCCTTATGCACCTCTACATTCCTTAGATCACAAGCCTCGCCCTTTTAGCGAAGTTGAGAATCGCCTTGAGTCCAAGCTCCTTCACGTCCTGAGGGTCCAAAGTAATGGACCCCAGTATAGTCTGCCTATAGTAGCTCAGAGCTTCACAGCGACACAAAACGCGCGCCGAGGTCTCTTCCTCTACCCCGCAGCGCTCACACAAGGGATCGTCAGCCACACCTATCACGTGCAGGTGGCACCTTAACGTGTTATGGCCAGACAATAGTCACACCAGCAACCTTAGGTTGGCTCTATCCAGAGATAAGCAGAAACGTCCATCCTTAGCACTGGACCCTTCAATGAGTTCCCGTGCTTGGCGGGGATATCGGGAGATACTTCTCCATTTCTGAGAGTGTTGTCTTGCAACCCACGTCTCCATCTTACAGGCACTTAGGTCCGTATCGTCAGTCGTCCCTACAATTGTAGGGCGCGTGTATGGCCTCCTAGATTGTCATACTCTTTTCTCTCCTTAAAAAATTTCTAGATTACACTCGTCCCGTGTCAGCGTCAGCGCTCCCCTATTGTGAAAATATGTTTTCCTTTTAAATTGTAGGAAATTTCAGGCTGATAAAACATGATATAACTCAAAAGCAATCACAATTTGATGCAACTAGATGTTTGTGACATAACCTCAAAATAGAGCGTCGACACGGAGAAGTAGAAAACTATGACAATCAAGGAGGCCATAAAGGCGCCCTACAATTGTAGGGACGACTGACGATACGGGCCGTAGTGCTTTCATTGCAGCCTGGCTGTTGGATAAGATTGTTATTCTTCTCCTAGGCCCACCCTCCTCCAGAATGCGAGATACATAAGCCAGAATCGCAAAGATTTTCGCCTGGAAAATAGTGGTGTATCCACCGAGAGGCAGAGATAGCCTAGTTCTAGGCCCAGAGATCCCAGCACCTGAGCCCTCTTCGGTGACCGAGCCGTCCGTGTACCAGACCTGCCCGCTCACTCCGGCGTCCCACTCCTCATTCGTTGGATACTTACACAATAAACTTGCGGATGAAGTGATATTTAGGGGTAATACGATCACCCCTGCTTAGGAGGACGGGTACTCCCTTTGGAATTCGACTAAGATGGCATTATGCTCCTTGATAGGATTCAAGAAGGCCCAGCTGCCCTGACACCACAGTCGATGAGCGACTACTCTCGCTTCACCGCGGATTACCAGATCCAACGGTGGGAGATCCAACAGAGCTTCCATTGCACTCAATGGCGTTGTTCGCACTGCGCTTGTAATGCTAATTCAGGCCAAACGCTGAATTTTATTGAGTTTGGCATTAGTTATCTCAGTTCTAATGCAAGGCCACCAGACCCAGGAGCCGTACAAGAGAGATGGACGTACTATCGTCGTGTAGAGCCAGTATACTACTTTGGGTTTAAGCCCCCACCTAAACCGACAACACGTCAACAGGCCCACATTGAATTCCGAGCCTTGCTAACCTTGTATTCAACATGCTCTCTCCAGTTCAGTTTGCAATCTAGGATAATTCCCAGATATTTCTCTTGATTCAGATAGAATTAATCTAGTGCCAAAGAAGGTCGGCATGATCAGCCCGTCAAGCCTTCTTCTCCTAGTGAATAGGATCAGCTTGGTCTTTCCAGCATTAACAGAAAGATCAAGGTTGGTTTGGATGTTGGATGGTAGTTGGCTGTGGTGAACAACCTCAAACAAAAAATACCTGTTTAAAAGTAGTAAAGCATTGCTAGCACAATAGTAATAGGTTGGTTGCGTATCCAAGTGGTCCATTTTGTACCTCAAATTCTGTCCGACGACGCATTTTGATGTTTCATGGACATATTCGGATTCAGTGCTCCAAACTTTTTAGGTGTATGTTGCTTCACGTAATCAATGAACTGTAGGTGTATTACGTATCCTTAAAAGTAGTATTATGTCGTTTTTTGACGTTATACAGGTTTTTTGTGACATTATGTAGGTTTTTCTAGAAGATGCCAACTTAGCGCTAGCTGTTGTACACTTGTTGTGTACTCGTTCCGTAGTTGTACGTGTTGCTGAAACGTTATGATGCTTCAGCTATGAATGTTTGGCTCCGATGTGATGTAACGTCTGCTTCAGGGATGGCATTATTGGAGGTCTAAGATGTGAGTATATTATAACTGAACGAAACGGCAGTGCATAGGTGCATGGTGACTATCTGTGCAAATAATCTGTATTGATGATAAGTACATTGAATTCTTGTCTCAAATATACGTACTTGAGATGTATGCAAAGCTAAAAATTATTTGCCCATCGGCTTTAATTTATTCTACCTGGAAATTACATATGCATATTTGCTGAATTTTCAAAAAAGAGAGCGATAAGAAGTGTATTAAAACTAACACATGAGAAAGTATGGTACATACAGAAATATTTATGAAACGTAAAAAGGTTATTACATTTCACATTAATTTTTATTTAGTCATTTAAATTTTATAGAAATTTATTTTACGATGTCAAGTAGCAAATATACAAATCAATGCCTAGATCTGAGGCAGTGCGAAAATGTTTTGGATGTGATGCGTCATTGCTAATTTTTCTGTGATGTGGCTTAATTAAACATCACACGGGTGCGGTGTTGGTTTTCCATAATGCTTCTCAAAGTTTTTGAACCCCCCCCCCCAAAAAAAATCGTAATGTATAACTTTGAACATAACGACATAACCTCTCTTCAAAAAGTAAACAGAAATAACCCGTCTTACACAGCTAATAGATATATTGCATTGATTTTATACACATACAGACCAATACCTACAATCAGCCAGAATGTCATCTTGCTACTCAAGCACACATCTTCTCAGAGTATACTCAACAGACTATTAGACGAAGATTCTCCTTGTTCAAGGAGGTATTTAAATTATGGGCGCATAAAATTTGTACTCCAATTTTTGTGGGAAAACGTTTTATTATGCAACAAAGAATGAGAAAACGTGTGTTTTGGGATCCAATCGAAAGTGCTGGCCGGAACGAAAATACTCTTCAAATAAGATTAGGTATTTATGAGACCAACCGAATGAGAACACACGTAAAAAGATCCGACTAATAGTAAAAAAGTTATGGCCCAAAACCGAGGCAAGATACAGGTTTTAGCACTTGGTAATGCGACGATAGTTCACGCAGATACATGAAACTTTTCAAATTCGTAGGCTTCATACTTCTAAATAACGACAACAAAATTGGACTTGATTCGCCAAGTATGTTTTGAGAATTTCTAATTGTTTATCCCTTTCGTTTTTCGCATAAAAATAACAATTATCTTTCGGAATGGTTTGTGGTTCATGTCTGCAAGGTAAACCCGTGTATTTCGCTACAAATTGCCCTTTGAACGAACGCTGTATATTGCTCAGTAAACTAGTAGTGATGGCCGAGTGACAGGTGTTTTGGGTTAAACAATTATAAATTCTCAAAAACTACTTGACCAATCGACTCCAATCTTGTTGTGGTTATTCAGAAGTATGAAGCCCACGGATTTGAAGAATTAGCAACAAGAGCCATAACCTGAATTTTGCCTCGGTCTTCGACCATAACTTTTTTACTATTAGCCTTTTCTCTTTTTTCATTCTGTAGGTCTCACAAATATGTAAAAAACTTATTTAAAGAGTTTTTTGGTTCCTGACAACACTTTCGATTGAATCCCAAAAAACAAGTTCTTATTCTTGGTTGTCGAATAAAAACTTTTGCCACAAAAATTGGTGTACCGATTTTATGCGCCCATGTTTTAAATACCCCCTTGGACAAATTGCATCAATAAAACCGGACTACAATTATTTAGTGAAAACTTTCTAATATGATTAGACTACCAACCATAATGGGGAAACTGACTTGCAGCTTGCAACATGGCCATTGAGCGTGTCATGTCGTTGAGTAAATCCTACATAGATGGACGCTCAAAGCGAGCAAACGCGGAATGTAATATTTTCACACTAGGAACTGTCTAGGCAGCAAGTTGTCGTTTTTTGCATTTTTTGGGTTTTTTTTAGACACATGACATCCATTATGTTTAGTGGAAAACTATGACCAATGCGTAGATATTTCGAAAATCCCATCCCTACCTTTTTCCTACAAGATAATAAGGAACCTAAATCCAAATAATTAATCAATGATATCCAAAGAGACACAAAAAACTATCTCATATCTCATACGTCTTGCAGCTTTATTAGTAGGTAGATTTGGCAAACGATCATCCTATTGGTTGACCAATCAACATTAGACATTGCGCTGATAGGGCGTATTCTTCCGTCTTTTTTTTACAAGAGGCGTGAATAAATAAACTCCTCTTTAGCGTTGAAACGAGTATTTCGTACTTACTTGCGGGAAGTATGACGAAATGCATTCCATTTGTTTGGTTGAGTTCAGATCAGTATATAATTCTCATTGGTATGCATTTGTGGGTACAGTCCTCATCAACATTAGAGGTAAAGGGATTATTAGTTAGTATTTTAGAAAATTGTATTAAAATATCATTTTTTAGGGTGGAGAATGAAATTTGGAATTGCTTCATCTGACCTTGCCCCAACATCAGTCTTGAAATACTGTAATTTTTACATGTTACATTCTGATTCAGCGTCCCAAACTACCTGGGTGTGTAGTTTCTTTCGTTCGCAATAACGGGAGATGAAAGTGGAAGTTTTTGTATGGTGATATTCGAATTGGTCTCCTTTAACGGCGGGAGCTGGAAACTTTGTTCGGCAAGGCCCTGCAATATTTTGAGCTTCCACAGGAAGCATTTTTCAAAAATCTCTGCGTATCTGCGATCTGAACGAAAACTGAGAAACCGTGCCCCAGGGGTACAGATAAAAGTTTCGGAACTAATGAAATACATTCTAGGGTTTCTTTAGTCTTTATTAACGGCTTACATAAACTTATACATATAGAATAATTTATAAACGGCAAAAGGTAAAATTTACTTCCTAGATAACTTATCTGTAATGGGAAAATAGAGGATAATTTCATGGGATATTTACAAATATATACACACTTAACATTCAAGTCCTTGTTCGTTTAACATTAGCAATAATAAAACACCGACTGTAATATGAGATTAACATTCACAAATAAAGGCAAAAACACATTATTATCGTGTCAGATTAACTCAAGCTATCATGCAAACTCAAAATGTAAATTGATAGACAGAAACCTTGGTACCTGGGGTGACAACAGTGTATTATTTTTCAATAACCCTTCTTCACCTAAGCCAGGGTTCCATGTATCGTGAGTCTTCGTTATGCCTCGTAAATTTCCGTGATGTCTCGTGAGCTTACATGACCTGACAATGTGTTCCCGCCTTAACATTCACAGATAATGCACATGAAGGGTTCCCGATTATGACGTGTGCTCTTCTAAGCTACAAATGGGGTATGGTGCGCTTATTTTTGTGATGCAGCTCGAGAAATGTTCAATTTGAAAGAGTTCCTGTTTTAATTTGAAGTATTCTGTCTAACGATTTTTTCATAAAACATGCTGTATGAACTAAATCAATGAAAGTATGTCGATAACGACCACTGAAACAATACAATGTATATCCGGCTTTCCTCAAAATAAGAAAAGTTTATGTTTATTTGTTTATCAATTTTTGATTGTGCCAATCAAATCTGTCGATTTTGGATTCCTCATGAAAATCTTTGCCAAAAAGTAGTTTCTATTGAGATGCGCTGACAGAACACTTCTGCGATAAAAAATCGAATTCGTTCGAATGCGAATAAACATTTGAAAGTCTCGATAGGTAAAATCACAGCCAGGAGACATCGGTACTGCAAGTACCATTGTCAATGAAGGCTGTTTGACTAGATAAACCTGGTCAGACTTAACCTGCAATTGTCTTACAGCCGCTGCTAGCATATAACACGTTTCTAGCGTTGTCTAACATTGGGCTTTTATTCCTTTTTACATCTAATATTTACACTTCAAGTTGGAGGATAACAGGAAGTCAGTTTGTTATTTAACACTTGTGAAAATGATAAAAAAATCCATTAGAAAGACTGAGAAATATTAGAGGTTCCTTATCTTTGTATAATGCATCGACTGCCTTCTTGGTTTATACATTTTCGGAATTCCAAGGTATTTAATTGCTATTGATATGGAAATTTCACTTATATATGGTTACCATACTTTTTTAACTTCTTTTGAAAATCAAATCATTCAGATAAATTCATTATTCATTACTTCGGTGAAATATATTTGCATTTGTCTAGTCCTTATTTTCACTCTATTTAGATGTAGTCCTCCATTCTTCTGGACAGACTGTTGACAAGACCTCCTTTTGTTATCCTTCAATATACCCTTTTCTACCCATACCAAATCTGCCATTGGAATAAAGCCCAAAAGTTAAACTATAGGTTGTCAGTCATGTTCAAAACGATAACTCAGATCTAAGTGAGACAGAATTTGAATTTGTCTTACATAGTTATACATATAATTATTGTCAGTAAGTCACTAAGAAAATTGAATGAAATAATTTAAACAATTACTTATAGACTTACGGATTTGTTGTGAACGGCAGCTCGTGATGACCACAACGTAATGAAAGTTGTACAAAAATAATATTTATATTATGTTCTAATGCATGTTCAAAACCAAAATCATAACTATGCATTCTGTCACAGGTAGACCGCAAACTTAAGTTATCGAAGGAAGTGCTCTAGCAATCCCTTAGGAACAAAACCGGCAACCTCATCCTAACCTAACTTTTCTATACTTGTCGTAAGTACCTAACATGCTCTGTCGCGTACAATAAGCTCCGGAAGCTAAATACATACGGGAACAAAAGCTCTATCGTAGTTTTAATACGAATTTGTAAAATTTGTTTAAAAATGGAAGAGCTAGGGCGTGAATAAGGGATGTAAAAAATTGAGCAACACCTAAAATTTAACTAGGTCGAGATTATAATCGTCGAGTATATGGGGTATTGGAAATGAAACATGATTGCGTATATCATCTTCATGTTGGCATCATGCGCCAAGTGTTTCCGTACATATACTGTGCCTTGCTTCTCCCATATGTTTATAACGATCAAAGAGAGAAATGCTATATCCAGAAAGACAGAAAATTCCAGGTAACATACAAGGTGTCCCACGTAGAACTGTAGCAATGGATCACTAAATAAGTCGACGTAAGGCAGTTATGTTTCTTTGACAGTATGATTGATACAGCCAACTCGGCTAAAATAAGGAAATATATTTTCAAAATAGTGGCACATCCGGTTGTACCGGAAATAGATACCAACTTATTTGTACTTCGAACAAAGCTGCTTTCTAATGGTTTTTTTGTTTGAGAGTGATACGTTCCCGAACTGCTCCAGAAACAATGCATGAGAATACAACGTGCAGTGGAACGGTATTGGTGCTGAGCAGTACTGAGTTAGTCAGAGTAACTCAACAGGGCCACTAGAAAGCAGCTCTTTGCACCCCATGTATTGTTCAATTTTTTGATTCTACGCGATATTCTAAGTTCATTTGAAGTTTAACCTAATCTGAAGTACTATCTCATATTTGCGAAAATAATGACTACAGCGGGTCATTTTTGCCTTTGTAGTTAGTATGTTTTGTGACGGGGTTTCATATAGCAGAGGGCTTAATTTAGTATATTTTATATCGGCTTTGGGGTAGATGAACAAATATTACAGGGTTGTTAAACATCGAGAATGAAATTGGATTTTAGGAAACCCGCTACAAATCATGCGGCAAAGGCAAAAATACGAAAAAAAGTTGTTATAATTTATTGAAAAAAAAAAAACGGTTAGGGTATAGGATGATTGATATATGTACGAGTAAATAAAGTGTATTTAGAATCTCAGATGAATAAAAAAATGACTAATTTCAAGATGTTCTGTTTATAATGAACAATTGGGCATATACTTGGAAGTGCCGTCATTTTGAAAATTTTCTGTTCTCCCGTAAGTCGTACAAATTATTCACTTATATCATGGTACCTATTAATATTTTTCAATTTTAGTTATGAAACATTTGTCTGTCAAATTCAAAATCTAGCATTTCACTCTTTGGTATTTTTGCTTTACTTAATCAGTACATAATCAAAAAAATATCAAAAATATAACTTCATCAGATATTCTTCGTACCCATCTCTTTTCTCGAGTTTGTTTGTTTGGCACACAAGAATTGGCTGTTTTTGCCAAAATGACATTCAGATTTTTGCAGAGAGTCCTCGAGTTTGGTTTTACCTGAAAAATATCATAAAATCGAGAAACGTGAGTATTGTCCTCTTGAGGATCTACTAAATACGGCGAAATTCATTTTTACTTCGAAAATTTTCTACAATATTGTAGTTTCAAGTGGTACCAATTTTCAAGGACTCTCTGCGTTCTACTTCGCATATGGCAGTTAGTACGCTAGTCTGTAAGCTCCCTTAAAAATTCGTGTCATAATCAGACCTCCTGCGTCCCGAGTACGGCATGGCCGAGGTACTACCGTGGCTGCTTCCTGGCTGGTTACCATAGTAGCTGTTGTAGTAGTACCCGTTCCATTCTGATCGCCAGCTGTCGTACAGGTTCGACATACTGTTGTCGTGGATGGAACCGTTGGACCTCTGAAAATGCTAGAGTCAAATCAAGGTTTTTAGTCAAAACATTGATTAACATATTCTACCTAAAGAACTGAATACTGTATTCCCGCGTACAAAAAATCATCCGAGATAAATTGAGATACAATACAGTTTATATATATGTACAAAGTGGAAAAATATAGATGATGGTAAAGTGATCGTGTGTGAACGTCTCTTCACCTAAAAATAACATTTGAAATTGTTGACAGAAAATTGTTGTTGAGGAAATGTGAATTGTATGGAATTAAGGGCACAGTCCTCTTGTAGTTGGGTGATATTTATCTGAGCGGTAAAAATTAAAAGTAAAATATCAAATAACGATTCAGTTGATCATGGCGTACCTCAACGCAGCGTACTAGTCGCATTACCCTTTATTATGTATGTCAATGATATGTCCAATGTCCTTAATAACTCTTTTATACATTTGTTTGTGGATGATTCATTAATTTCAGTTAGTGGTGAACCACTAAAGTAAGTGACAAAATTGGAGATGGAATGAATAATGAAATGGACAAACTTATACCTTATCGTTGAAAAATAATTACAAGAAATTAGTAGATTTCAATATGATAGTGAAAATTGAGGAATAGGCACTTAATTGTGTAGATAGTTTTAAATATTTAGGTATTACAATAGGTCACCAACTAACCTTTAAGAAAAATGTCGGAAATTAGGCAAAAAGAACAGGTATTTTCGTAGAATTTGTGACAATCTAAGTTAAGTCACTGGTGCCGAGGGGTAGTCTACAATACAACAATTTTTCCTCATTTTACTTATTGTGCATCACTTTTAATTACATGCACAAATGAGGAAAGGATATATGCTAAAGACATTACATTTTTAAACGTACACTAAACCATTCAAGAGGCAACTTCAATTATTTTATACAAAACTATCAATATTATCTTGAACAGTTTCTAAAAAAAATATTTGAAATGCAAGGTTACGGCATTAGATCAAAAAAAAAATCCCCATACAAAGATTCAAATCTAAAGGTCAATGTACGTTGAAGGTCTAAAAATGTACATCGATCTTCTCATTATTGCAAAAACATCTAGTAATATAGTATATTAACTTGTATGAAAATATAGACAATTTTGGTTTGATGTGAAGACCACGTTGTAAATTTAATATATTTGTTGTAAATATATATATATATATATATATATATATTCTATTGTATTCTATCTATGAAAATCTATCACAGCTGTTCGTCCTCGTACTCGCACTAATTAGAAATCTACTTTGAAAATTCTAGTGGCTCATAGACGGCGCTGTAGCCAAATTTATGGTATATGCTAATTAGCTGGCTACAAACAATCTGTGGGACAAATTCTCATAGATGACGCTATTGTTTCTCATTTTATGTCTGATACAATTGATTGGACGCGGGAATTTAGTATCAAGTTGGCTATTTTCAGGTAGAATACGTTAATCAGTGGTAATTAGGTAGCTTTCTCTCTGGTATAGTAGAACTATTTGTAATATTGAAACAATAAAAACTTGTCTTTACGATATTGCTAAGTAAGTAAGTGATGTTATACGGACGTTAATAGCGCGGAGAATAGGATTAACCTTTTGATGTTATAGCAAAGCTATAGAGAACTTCCTACTGATACGCGGTATGGATATTCGATAGCATGACTCTGCGGCTCAATATCATGGTCGTCGTATCAAGCTACCCATCCACAATCAGCTAGAAACGCCCCCCCCCGCCCCACATATATTATAACAAGCTTTATATGAATTTATAAATTTTCACTTGTTATCCGACGACTCTTCTACATGCCCAAAACGGTATATATAGCCCCTGATTTTCAAGTATTCTACTCTTGTAGAACGAAGTATTTGTAACCACATTTTGGTTATTATTATGATTATGGTTGAGTAAAATTGTATATGATGATCATACTATGATCGAAGTATTGTATCGACAGCAATTCCGCCGCGCATTCAGCTTCCTATAACGTCGAAATATACCGAATTGAGACAGCACAAAATGCCATCTATTGTCAGAAAGGTCCACTGAGAGAGATCAAAGCGATTAGTACTTTGATTGAAAAATACCAACCGTTCTCCGCTTTTAACATAGCGCTATTGGTGTGCGTATAACACGTTACTCCGATCTTATGTTGTAATTCCGCTACCGTCAAGAGAGAAAGCATACATTTTTCCATTTTAAAAAATTTGTCTGGTTGGTACTACGAAGCATGTTAATGTCCACTCTCACCTTTTTGGGAATTTTTTGTTCGTATCCCCTGTCGTTCCAAACATCTTCCATGTTATATAAGTCATCAGCTCCATAGTTATCGAACCCTCCCATATGGCTTTTATTCAATTCGTTTAACATATCTTCTGTCAAAGGAGTAGGATTTTTCTTCTTTGCATTTTTCTGTCTGTTCACCAGCTAAAAGAATTACATGAAAAATTATAGTCATAGTACAACAATATAGTAGTTATAGGGACACACATAATACCTGTACATATAAAAGTATGACCGTCACCAATTTAAAACTATTATATGATGTATTCTTCAATATGTTGTATTTGGACGTCTACAAAGATTTCTTTCTTCGTAATTGCTGCCAAGATTTCTTACTCTCAAAACTGAACGACAGATAACGAAATCTCATACCTGCCGCAACGCTCCGGAAGTTGGCAACCGATACACGTAAAAACGGTGGTCGGCAAGTAAACAGAGGGTCCTGAAAGTTGGGATCTTCGTCTTCAAAAACAACTCCGTTTGAAATAACAAAGTTGACTTGCGGTAAAACAGCACCAAAAACGTAAAAAACTAAATGAAAAAAATATTTGGTGCGGCATTTCAAGTACTGCCCTGTCATATGTTTTATTTGTCATTAGTGCTTGAAGTTATCGCTGTTCAATTAAAAAATACGAGTTTGTTTGCTTCTATCTAAAATCACATTTGAGGCTATCTAGGTCTTCTGCTATGTCCAACCAGATGACTTTTGTATGATATCTATAAGCAAACCTATGCAGCTCATCATGGTAATATCGAGGACGTTGGTGACAATCTGAATACACTCGCGGAGTATCAATAGGATTATAAAGACGCTCACAGTAAACTCACATCAAATCGATAACTACGTTATTGTTGCAGAAATATAGACCAATTCCGGTTTTCAAATGCGGTTTGTTTATAAACTAGATTAACCTACACTAGATGCTGAGTCACATCACAAAATGCCATACCCTTTAACGTACGTAGGAGGGGGAAAGGCACTTTTTGGCTCTTAAAATATCGGTTATCTTAAGGCTTTGGTATATGTGTTGCTAGGAGAACTTGCTTAATATTACCTGACATATACGTTCTGTAAAGTCCCAAATTTGAGGACACCCTGTATAGTTGCAAGCATAAGTGGTTGGTAGCGCCACGGTATGTATGCTCATTTTCACACAGGCACGGCTTTCAATAGAATTTGTTCCCTTTTCGTGGAATATTTTAATCAGTATACTATACAAGCTCAATCTTGACCAATGGCCTGCCAGGAGTACTGATGAGACTTAGTCTACAGTCGAAACATGCAAGTCCACTAGTCACCAAACCATCTTACCTACCGAGATGAAGTAGTGGTGGAGTTGCCAAAGTGTCCCTTTAACTACTTGAGATACATCGATGTTAGTAAATACAGCAATAAAATGTTATTTATTATCATATGTACAAGGATCATTAGAAGCATATACCTTTTTACGGAAAAGTAGACTCACCACTGTGACTCCGAAAATGATAACAAATAAAAGAGAAGCGAGCCCTATCACTATAACTGCTATAGCCCATTGTGGCAACAAAACGTCGTTGTCAGCATATCCCACTGTGGGATAGTTTTGCTTGGGCAGAACTGAAACAAACAGATTTATAAATAAAATGTTGTGCCTATAGTGTATCCAAATCTCATTTACAAACACCAGCACCCAACATTCAAATTCGCGCGCTCCTATTGGCTAGCGGGTCGTGAAATGCATGAGGAGGTAGCGATAAGCGACCAAAGCGAGTGAGTGCTCATGTTTGTTTTGACACTGAGCAAATTAGGAATGGACAGATGTATTTTGTACTGGATATGGGGTAATCAGAAGTTACTTAAGAGGGTACCGATACAACCTAGATAAGTTTCTTTTGCGTTTTAGCTATGCTTCTATGGAAGGCTAATACGCACGGTGGAAGGATTATCATTTCAATATTTTATCTTCCGGTTCACCTCCATCACACTGGTTCAAAAAAAATGTGTGCTGGAGTTGCTCTATATTTTTCACACTGAGCACAAACATTTTTTGGTGATCGATGGAAAATGTAAAAGTCAGTTCGATATCAAAATTATAGATTTTGATATTTTGGTGGAGCATATCTCTGATACACAAGGCAGATTCACCAAAGTATCAATCTCTATAATCCTGATGTCGAGGTTACATGCGAATTTGTCCATCGACCCTACAGTTTTGACTTCACATTCGTGTTCAGTGGGAAACAATACATGGAAAAATATAGTGGGATCCTCACCGCACAACACTTTTTTTGTGGACCTGTGTAACGTTCCACTTAGCATCACATTTTAGGGATAGATGTTTTCTTAGCTGTCATTATCCAGCCGCAATGTCAGTAGCTAACCGAAGCTGCTGTGTGAAGATAGTTGATTATGTTCGCTAGGATAGCTGAGGATTTTTTTTAGTAAATATACCCTCAAACGTATTATACCAATAATTTTAAAATAATGCTTAGAAAATAGGAAAATAAAATATTAAGTTGCTGCGAATTTGAAACAAAAATCAGGTGCCGCGATGTTTTTTTGTCGAGATTATTTTTGTGTACTTACCAAGAAAATCTGTGTATATAGGATCGATGACAAAATTGCCTAGAGTCAGTTTTCCTTCTAACTTAACAGACTCGTTCAATGATTTTCCTCCACGTTTGGAATTTCCAAAAGCCGTCAAAGCATCATCAAGTGACTCATGGAACAGTTGCTTGATCTCTTGGGTATCAACGCGCCTTCCTAGATCGTTCAGTTCGACCAGATAGTCTACAAGAACACTGCCCTCGCTGTAAAAGAAAAGTGTGTTTTAGGTCTGTGTGTGAGGTCTATGTAAGGAGATCTTACCTGAAGCCATCTATCCGGATTTTCCTGTACCATCTGCTCAGTTCCGGGGATGAACTGAATACGTAGTCTAACTGCAATAAGAAGTAAGCACTATAGTAACATTTTACATCATCAGACCCTAGGGAGATGCGATATTCTTGACATTTTGCTTTCATTTTAAAAGATTCCACATGGATGTGTAACAATTTATTAAGAGAAAATGCTATTGGAAGCTTAGGCATTGAAATATCGCGGGTAAGCAGACCTACGGATGTGATGACGTCACTCCTGTTATCTGTCATCCTTATATATTATACAGGGTGGCGCAGAGGAAACGCATGATTTTCACGTAAGCATAACATTTCTTATGTTTAAGATAATTTTATTTTAACTACAGCTAAATAAAGTAATAATAGTGCACTTTCAAATTAATTATGGTAAATTACGTCACTCAAGTGTCGCCCTTCTTCGCTCTCGCACATCTCCATCCGCTCTTGAAAGTTGGGCATTACACGTAGGACCATTTCTTGTGGTATTCTTGTGAGTTCTTGACGAATAGCAATTTTCAGTTCCTGTAACGTACGAGGTTTGTGAGGGTACACTTTAGCCTTAAGGTAACCCCACAATAGGAAGTCACATGCAAACAAATCTGGGGAGCGTGGAGGCTAAGGAACATCGTCGAAACGGGAAATCACATGTTCAGGAAACATTTGTCGAACACATTCCATGGATGCTCTCGCTGTGTGAGCTGTGGTACCGTCTTGTTGGAAGTACAGTTCTCCCATGTTTACTTGTTGCCGTTGAAGTTCGGGTAACAGAAAATTTTGTAACATGTAACATAAAGTGCTGAGGTAACTGCTCTTTCTTCCTCCTCAAAAAAATTAACGACCAATAATACCTAATTTACTAATTCCGCACCACACGGTCAATTTTCACTATGCAGGGGTCGTTGGTGTAGCTCTCGAGGATTTTCGGCCGCCCAATACCTACAGTTCTGATTGTTTACATATCCCGTTAAATGGAAGTGTGCTTCGTCACTCAACATTATGATGACGTTAGGATCATCAGCAGAAATGGTCAGCATTCTCGCACAAAACTGTCTACGCTGTGGAAAATCACTTTCTTGCACAATCATTATCGTAGAGCTCAGAGCTGGAGCTTGACGCCTAGTGGACGTTGAGGACTATCAAGGACCGCTCTTCTCACTATTTCGATATTGCCTGGTGTTCGAACGGTACGGGGAAGGCTAGGTGGACTTTATTACAGACCCAGCAGTTCAAAATGCCTCAACCCATCGGAGTACCGTATTTCGATCTGGAATTGACTCTTGGCGTTCAACATTGAATTGACGACGGAATAAACGTTGCACGGTAACTACAGAATCATTGTTTCGGAAAAATTGCTCGACGGCAAACACACGATGCTCAGTTGTCTACGGTGCCATGGCTAAAACTGCATTGCCTGTGTTCTCTGCTGGCGGTGAGGCATGAGGCAAGCTCAACCCACTCCTCTTTGCGAAATACTATTCACTCAGAAAACATGCGCTTCCTCTGCGCCACCCTGTACATACTTTTATGGTTCAATAGTTATTCCATTGCCAGGGAAAATAGTAAAGATTTGAACTGTTCTCAAAGCCACTAGCACACCGATTAAGCTATTAAAGGACACCCGCACACACACACAGCTTTCAAAATTCTTGATCATATCCCCACGACATATTAACATCAATTCGTGGACTAAAGTACGTTCCATTTGGAATAATTCGCAAATCCGATTTATAAGCAAACAGCTCGATTTAACTACACAGAGCATGGGTGCCTGGGTTAGAAATGAACGTGCGTCGTATTTTTTTCACGTAATCTTTTGTTACAGGCGGAACTGTACTTGATTTCGCAGGTTTCTAATAGCACGGTTATCCTAAAACTTTGTTGCAAGTGTAACTATTAAAAATTGCGTAGTTTTATTGAATTCGCCGTATAGAGAAAAGTCCCAACTTTAAGAATACCCAATACCTTCTGTCTACACCTACCTGAGTCTGAACCTCATTCGCCAACACCTGCCACTCTCTGGTATTCCTATCCAGCAGTTCCGGCTGCCACTTGACACCATCCACCATCTTGATTGTCCCTGCTAGATCGCACTCGTCGACGCACACTCCGGGCGTCGTCGGTCGCATCGTCGTGGTTGTGGTCGTAGTAGGCGTGGTCGTCGTAGAAGGCGTGGGTGTTGTCGTGGAGGCGGGCCCAGTTTTTGCAGCCTGGGCGGCGCGAGCTGCTTCCAGGAGTTTCTCCACGGAGATGGGCGTGGTTGATGGTGTGGGCCAGCCGGTGAACTCGGTCGTAGCTCTGCAACGTTAAAACGAGACGATGATGTCGCTCAGATTCGTTTAGGAAAATAATGACATTTTGGCTAAAAACCAAAATAAGACCTTTTTAAGGCTACCCCCCTATAACTGCGAATTAAATTCGATTGAAATGATCTGGGCAAATATAAAAAACTATGTGACTTCAAACAATAGAACATTCAAATTTTCTGATCTGAAAAATTTGTTTTATGAAGCTGTCAACAGAGTGACGGCAAACCATTGGAAAGATTGCATCCGTCACGTCAATATGATCGCTATTCAAATTGAACCTGTAATAACAATTAATATTAACTATTCGGACGATGAATCAAGTTCTTCCAGCGAATAAAGGATTGTGAAAAGTATGTGCACTGCTTTCTATAAAAATAATCATTTATTTTGATAAGATTATTCCAAGCCCATTGAGGAAAATACGGACGTATACGATCTTGCTTGTGGGCATGTTGTGTTTTGTCTGAGCGTAAATGGACTACGAATGGGGTATAGTCGGTTAGCTGTTTGCCTTAGTAGACGTAATTGATGTGGTAATGACAACTCATAAATGTTACATGTTTTTACCTTGATGGCCATCCTTTATGTATGGTGGGTGTAGGCTTCTGCATCTCCACATTGCTTATACTCTTAGGCGTAGTCCTCGTAGCGGATTTCCTCACTCCTCCTCCAGGTCTTGTAGGGAACACCACCTTGGAAGGTTTACTGGTGGTTGATGCTGTTTCGGTACTAGGCTTGAAACCTGGCGGTAGAAGGTCGGCTGGAGCTATAGCAGTTGCATTGTAGCCTGGAGGCAGTAAAGCTGAGATGTCGATAGGTTGAGCTTTTGGTGGCACTGAAAAAAAAAACAATAGTGATTTATTCAAAATCAGCAGAAAATTCTCGATTAATGATGTAAATGTAAATTCAAATATCTCTCACTAGTATTTATCTTTTGATAGTGTATAGAGCTGCTACGAGTACGTTTGTTGTCCGAGAGACCAAGCCTAGACCATGCTGCTGAGTAGACAAAAAGCATGAAACAGTTGTCCATGGTTATCTGTGTTTGGTCAGACGGATGAAAACAATACGCTTAGAATTCACAAACACTCCCAAAATAGTGAAGGCAACAAACTGTTGAAATGTTAATATATTGTGAAGAAAGTGTCATAAACATGTACCTTTGTCTCCTTGTTTGGCAGAATCATCTAATTCGGACTTTGGAGTTGTTTTCGGTATTTTATATCCTGGAGGCAGGAACTTTGACACATCATCTGCTTTAGTATTTTTGTGAATACTACTAGGCGTGGAATTTTCTTTATACTTTGGAATCTTATAACCTGGCGGTAGGAACTTGGACACATCATCAGCCTTTGTGTTTTTGAAGATACTGCTTTCAGTGCTTCCTTTGTAACCTGGTGGCAGGAACTTCGATAAATCATCAGTCTTCGTGTTTTTGAACAGACTTGCTTCAGTAGTCTTCTCGCCAGACTTAGGCAATTTATACCCCGAGGGCAGGAATTTGGACACGTCATCGGCCTTGGTGGAACTTCTTTCCGTGGTTCTGTCATCCGATTTTGGTAGCTTGTAACCTGTATTGAAGAAAGCATTGATAAAGGATTTCAGTTAACAAAATTTGGACTATATTTTACACGCCGTATATTTTTTGTAAAAATAAGCAAATGTTTCTAGTAACAGATATTCAAATAAGTGAGATATTAGGTTTTGAAAAAATCTGCGATATCAAATTCGTCTCTGTCACCAGCGAATGGTTAGGTGAAAATATCCGTTGTAAATCGAATTTGAAAAACTGAAGATCTCAACGTTTCCATTGTGTACCATGTTACAGGGCTATAGTTGTCGGAAAAGAAAAGATGCAACCTTCTGAAGAACAGAAATGTACCTGGAGGTAGGAATTTTGAGACATCATCTGCCTTGGTATTCTTGAATATGCTAGGTTCAGTTGTTTTGGCACTTTTCGAAGACGTAGTTTCGTCTTCTTTTGGCAACTTGTATCCTGGTGGAAGGAATTTTGAGATATCTTCAGTTTTCAGTTCTTTCAAAAGTACATTTTCTGTGGTCAGTTCACTTTCGTTCAACTTGTAACCTGGAAAAAAGAAAATCTATCAGAGATCGTGAAAGGTTGTGTCAGAGGTACAAATCGAGCTTGACTAAATGCGTGTCTGCTATATGGTTAAGAGATGGATAAGGAACATTTTGCAACATTTCAGAGAGCTTGTGCTAGGGCTAGAGTAGAGGCAAAAGAAACCACTACAAGATCAATGCCTCTCTCATGCTCAAAAAACTCTGTCAGTAGATATTGCAAGTCTCGTACTACTGTCCAATTGATCGACTACTCTTCTCTAAATTTGGCACCGACGGATCGTCGGCGGTCTAGCTCTCTTCTACCGTTACGTCAACGAGTGTTGCTCATCAGAGCTCTCCTCCATGATGCCACTGCACGTTGAGCCTGTCAGACAGACTTTTCGACCGTGTTGAACTTCGATCATCCAGAACTGGCCGATACGTCCGCTCCTTTGTTCCTAGAGTATCGAGATTGTGGAACACTCTACCTGAGGAGGCTTTTTTCAGTTCTACTAACCTTAGGAAGTTCCAAAATTGGAATAACAAAATTTCTTTAAGCTCCTCATAGCAACCGCGGTGCCCTGGTATTTAGGCTTCTGTATGCGTGGCTGCGTAGGTGTAAAAAAGATACAAAGATGTTTAGAGCGGTCACATGTCATCTATGGCGGAATGGTGCAGTGGCCGTTTTGTTAATATTTGCCTAAACTACTGCAACCAGCATTTCGCTAGCAAAGTTTGTGGGTTGCAGGCTAGTAGGATACCTCAAGGAGTATACTTTTAGAACAAGATGTGACTGAGGTAATATAGTCGAGTATAAAGAACGCATTTTGCTGCTTATTGATCACTGATTCGGATGTGCGAGAGGCATGTAGGGAAAGTTCACATTTCAAATTTGAGCTACGCGGCAACCGTATACGCGAGGAAGTGGGGAGAGGTTTTGATCGACCCGTTCTGCGTGCGGGTTAAATAGTCACAATGGAACGTTGGACCGGAGCGCAACGTGCTTTCGCTATCGAGGCTTACTTTAAGAGTGGTGATTCATATGCAGCTGCCCTTCGGAAATTTTGTACACGATACAACATTCGCCGACCAAGAGATACTCCAAATAAGAATCTATTGAAAAAGTGGATCAAGAAGTTCCGTGAAACAGGCTTTACTCTCAGTCCTGGCCCCACACCTACTGTATCAACCGAAGAAAATGTGCGTCGAGTAAGTGGTCAACACTGCATGATATAATGAAGAAAAAAATGGGTTTTTATCGTTATAAAATCCAATCAGTCCATGCTTTAAAGGAAAGAGATTACGTATTACGGAAATCTTGTACTGAACGGATGTTGAATCTTTTTCCTACGCAGCGCAGTCTCGAGAACGTTGTTTTCAGTGACGAGGCCCATTTTCACTTAGACGGTTACGTGGACAAGCAAATTACAGATATTGGGCATCAACGAACCCAAAAAAGAAACATCAACAACAGCTACATAGTCCAAAGATGAGCTTTTGGTGCGCCATATCCTCTAGCGGTGTTATCGGGCCGTACTTCTTTGAAGATGAAAACGGCCATGCATTGGTAGTCAATTCCGAGCGATACAAGGTCATGATTGACACTTTTTTACTCCTATTGTAAGAACACAACATCGATTTAGTGGAAACACATGGTTTCATAAAAGTTATATCGAAGTTTGGAGACATTCACTGGCCTCATGCCATGCGACTATTTTTTGTGGGGTCAAAAGTGGCAAACATTTGGGCGGAATGATGTTCAAGAAATAAAACCCGCCGAATTTACGAATATGTTGATAGTAATAAATATTTTCTTTCCATTAAGTTTGTATTTTTTTTTCTTAAATCAAAAAGTGAACTGTCCCACTGGACCCCTGTACTTTCTGGTTAACCTACCTGGAGGCAAGAACTTGGTAATATCCACATCCTGTGTAATCTTCAGTCCATTTTCCGTAGTTTGCTCAGCTGTACTAGTAGTACTACTCTCGTCCTTCTTCTTATTCTTCAAATTCCTGTCAACCAACTCCTGCAAAATCCTCAGACTCCTGTCATCACTAGCATTCAACTTGTAGTTTGGAGGCAAAATCGAAGCGATATCAACAGGTTTCCTAGGTTGGTCACCTTGCAACTGGTTGATGTCGAATGGTTTCTTTTCTCCAGGCTTAGGTCTCGGTTTTCTGGTGGTCGTTGGACGGTTTGCTGGTGAGAACTTGCGAATTTTGACTTGTGGATACGGTTTAGAAGTTGTGGACGGATAGTTGGCACTTGTGCTGGTGGATGCGGTTGTTGTTTCCAAGGTTGTTTCTTTGATTACTGCGATGTTGTTTCCAAGACCACCTGTGAAAGGTCACATTATAGTTTATATAGTATATATAGAATAGTAAGTTCAAAAGTTGAATCATGCACGTATTTAATAACATAATCATAAAAAAATATGTAAGGGGTTTATACAAAATTTACCTGTCAACACTCCGCTAGATAGATCAGACTGTAATCCATCTAATTTATCTATCAAACTTTCTGTAGATGTCTTAGGTCTGGTTGTTGTAGGCATGATCGTTGTTTCAGTAGTCGTATGTTCTTCGTCTTCGTCATCTTCTTCGTCAATGTCGTCATCTTGATGTTGATGATCATGGTCGCTATCGTCGTCATCTTCAGTCGCATGTTCGTTCAAAAGCTTAACTCTGATATCTTGTTCAACTATGGAGGAAGGAAGATATCTGGAAAAGATAAAACATTGTTTTTTAGTTACTTCTAAACTAGTTTTATTATTATAAACAATTGCCTGACCATTTCTTCACCTTCAATGAAACTCAGTGATAAAATGAAGGCAGGTCAAGATGGAAGGTTTTTCGTCATGTACAAAGAGTTTTAATGTTGCTATAGTCGTAATCTTTAAAAAACAAACCTACCTTGCTCCCGAGACACTCCTGCTCGTTTGAACCGAGGCCACAACCACCCAGGCCTCCGTAGTATTATCTACAGCGGTCGTGGGAGTTGTAGCGACACCTTTTATGGACTCCGTCACAGTCGGCACCTCAGTAACCGGTGCAACGACAGTGTTGTTGATCACCGTTTTGCTGGTCACCACGGAGATCACCAACTCTGGCTCCTTATGGAGCATTTGCTCTCCTCTCTTGAAGCTTACTGATTTAGAGCTGGAGATAGAGGGTGAGAAAGTTGTTGGTTCAAGGTCGTCGATGGCTGTGGTTGGTGGCTCAGTGGTTGGATAACGGAAAGTTCTGTCGATCGAGGTGTAGAGTTTTCCTTTGGAGTTCGTTGTTGTTGGTTTTGAAGTTGTTAGGACTTGAGAATGTTCCTCACTCGGCTGATCCTGAAACATAATTGAGATTTGTAGTGAATGTACGTAAGCGTACTGTTTCAAACTTCGATGCATATGGCTGGTTAGTGTAAGAATATTGTAGAGGAGGGTTCTATTTGAAAATCTATTCCATTTTTTTATGACGAAATCATCAGAGGTTAAGAATCTCGTGCAAGCCAGGGATGAATCCAGAAGAAAGGTATTGTCGCATTCATGTGAACCAGTGCAGGAAGAATTTCCAAGAAACTTTTGCGATAAATACACCGTGGCAATTATACCAAGAGAAGCCTCAATGCTTTTAGAACTCTCGGGTAAGTGTTCAAGGAGACTATATGGGATGATATTCGAGGTATTTCAATGGTATCCAAGGTGATCCAAGAATGATCAATGAAATCCGACGCAATCCATGGAGATATATGTATAGATATATTTATTTGCTAATGTGCATGCGGTGAATTTATGTCTTTTCTATAGCTCACGTTTGAAAATATGCTGATTGTAAGATTTTATCCAGTTTTTCAAAAAAAATCTAAGAAGGTCCAAATATTTCCAAAGGGATCTAAAAAATCTTTTGTTCAAAAAAGTGTTGTTGGTTCCCGTTTCCAGGACTGTATATATCTACCAGATCTGCCATCAATAATTGATAGGTTTAGAGCCTTACCTTCTCTTGATTAGCTTCATGTTGATCGTTATCCTCACCACCCTGTATATCGTTATCGTTATTGTTCTTTTGATCTTCCTCCTCTTCATACAGTTCATCTTCAGCATAGTCATCGCTCTCGGTTGGCAGATGAGTACTTAATTCTTCATTATCATCATAGTAGGTCGTTGATGGATCAGAAGACTGAGTGGTTTTTGAAGATTCTTTAGTTGGTGATAGTGGTAACATCTGCAGACAAAATCATAAATCAATAAGGTTTTATGTGAAAAATTCTTTGTTTTATCTTTAATCTGCTCCAAAACTACTACTGTGGGGCACCTGCGTTGGAACTGTGGGATGAAGTGTAGCACTCGCCAATTTAACGATGAATATGTTACGGTTGTTACACATCTGTAAAGCCTCTCTTGGAGGTTATTAGCCAAGTGCTGACTACTGTCGCAACATTATTTAGGTCCAGTTTTACCTTTTTTTTTCATGTACAGGGTATCCCAACCGTGAGAGGACGAAGTATTGCTTGCCAAAAAGAACTATTCAAATAAAACTATTTATTTGTTATTATTGTGGTACCGGGAAACAAATTTATGAATTATTCACAATTATACAGGGTATCTCAAGTTTGACCCACATGTCAAAGTTGTTTTTTTTATTGAAGTAGCCAACGTTTAATTGCATATCTGGATAAGAAGAAGACTGATACCCTGCAGTTTGGAGTTTTTGAGAATTGCTGATATTAATTCTGTTTAACCTTCGAATGCCTAAAAGATCAGGCTAAGGCGTGTTGCGAAGCAATTTGGAAACCTATTACAATACCTTTGGCCTTCGATGATCATCACCACTCTTTCCGACAATTGTATCATTTTCTGACTGGATCACCTCAACCTCATCATCGTTGCTAGTACCGAAGTTCTCCTTAAGAGGTTCCTCCAACAATGGTTCCAGATCCGCCGCTTTCTGACGAGGGCTCTTTGTTTGGATCCCTTTCCTCTCTTTCTCCAGGTTGAAGGGCACAGGTGGTTTGGCTTTCGAGGGTGATTTGAACGGGTACTTTCTTTCTTGGATGGTACTTTTAGTGGACGGTGGTGTGGTTCTGGGAGCCTTGGTGGTGCTGTACACATCGCCGTGATTGTCCACGAAGTAGTCTTTCACTTGGGGTTTCTTTAGGGGTTGGTCTGGAGCTACGAATCTTGACCTACAAAATAGATATGATAAATATATGAATAACATATAATTGACAGTTTTGGTCTCATCACGATTAAGATCTTATTTTTGGGATTCGTTTTCAAATCAGGATGACGAAAGTTAGTAAAATAAATAAAAAACGTTACGTTAAGTTATGGGTGAATCACAGATGACACGATGACCGCAATGCTTATAAAATTCACCCTTATATACCAAGTGACATATAAATCCGAACACCCAGTTTAAATGGTTTTATTTTAATAAAATTTTGTATAAGTACTTAATACAGCATAATAAGTAAATGATAAAAATTTCAAAATGATTGCACTGCTTTCAAGCCCTTTGACCTTTAATAATGTGTGGATGCACCCTGATGTGCTACGCATTCTCCACCGCGCCTAGGCATGCTTCTGATCAGGTGGTCAATGTCCTCCTGTGGTATCTCATTCCAGGCAACCACCAACTCCTCTCGAAGTGCTTCTAGAGTCTGAGGAGGACGTTGCAAATTGAGCAATCTCCTACCCATCATATCCCACACGTGCTCAATTGGGGATAAGTCGGGAGATCCTGGTGGCCATGGTAACAATGTGACATCATTATGTTGAAATAAGTCTATTGTGACTCTTGCAACATGTGGTCGGGCATTATCTTGTTGGAAAGTTGGATCTGCCAGGGCGTCAAGATAGGGTAAAAGATGGGGTTCTAGAACTTCATGGATATAACGCTGCGCGTTCACGTTGCCTCTGATGAAGATTAAAGGTGACCTGGAACCATAAGCTATAGCACCCCAAACCATAACTCCAACAGTGTGATGAACATGTCTTTCAACAAGAAACTGTGGATTCCTCCTTTCACCACGTCGCCTTCAAACCCTGGCACGACCATCGTGCATGCCTAAACAAAATCGAGAATCGTCACTAAAGACAATAAATACTGTTCCAATCCTGATCCCAGAGTGAGCGTTGTCTGCACTACTCAAGGCAATTACGTCGGGGTTCTCGAGTTAAAGGGAGGACCCAGTGTGGCCGGTATGAAAACAAGCCAAAACTTCTCATTCGTCGGTAAACACTTCGCATGCCAATAGGTCTTCCGTGTTCTGCAAACCATTCATTTGCAATGGACCTGGTAGTGGAGAAACGGTCCCTTAAGGCCAATAATCTTAGGCGGCGATCTTCACGGTCTGTTGTTCTACGGCGGCGTCCAGTGCCCCTTGCTCTTTGCGTACGGCCTTCTCTAAGCCATGCCTGACAACACCTAACCACAGTGTCTATACTTCTTTGCACTCTAACTGCAATTGCCCGAAAAGAAAGTCCAGCTTCACGAAGTCCCACTATACGGCCCCTATCAAACTCACTAAGTTGACGAAATCGTACAGGCCTCCGTACTCTAGGCATCGTAACCGATCGTAAAGGATCTCAAGAACCAAAATCCGCCAACGTTGATTCTTTAATGCGGCTGAAATATTCATTTTTAGAGCGTTAGTGAATTAAAAAAAAGCAATATAAAAACCGGAATGTCCAACTGATAAGGCTGAAAATTTAATCACTTGTTATTTACAGTAAGATAAATACATTCACCAACTTTTATTAAAATAAAACCATTTAAACTGGGTGTTCGGATTTATATGTCACTTAGTATATATTGTTATACGAAATTCAAAAGTTCAGGAGATATTTCTACTTTTGTAGAATTTCAGAAAAAATATTTTGAACCTAACTTCGCACGCGCAGTCATCTATGAGATATACATCAGTGATTTTTTTCTGGGAGTAGTATGTAACTTTTTGAATAATATGCTGTTTTGTTGAAGTCTGGGTAAAATGTTATTACTTCAAATTTTGCTAGATAGTTCTGTCATCTCCTCAACCCTCAAAAGTCGTCAACGAAACGTTACGGATAGAATCTACTAGATATCATGCTGGATCAAACTTGCAAATTTTATCCGCCTACGATAAAGATCATATAGAAAATTGTACTTCGAAGCGGAGAAATATACAAATAATATGACAACATCTTTTATTGCTCAACTCTATTGCCTGGCGTGTCTAAAATAATGAATAAGATACTGTCTCATGGTGCCCATTGAAGTTCCAAACCGCCCTGCTAAGCACTACAGTTGAAATAAATGGATTACTCCCTTTTTATATTGAAATAAGCAAGAAGACAATGCCTGAACACCCGGGTACAACAATCGCTTCTGTGCTGCACCAAGCAAGTATATGATCTAGGCTCCTCCTGTTTGATGCAGTTTAGGAAACAATAAAAAATGCGGATGTTTAGGATACACGTTCATGGAAGGTTTATTTCTTAAGAGAAATCCAAGAATGGGCTCAAATATCTTACTATATACAGGGTGATTCAGCAGATCCTGTTAATATTTCTAGACTACAAAGAAGGCTAAAAAATAACACCAAAACTTCCCGTACATATGCCTCCTGAAGTGCCCTCTTACCGAGATGCAGGAGGTTGAAGTTTAAATTTTGAAATCGAAAAAGTTTTATTTCCGGAGTGTGTTAGGATCTGGCCTTGAACCTGTATATATAGTACTAATAGTGTAGCAAATATATTCAAAAATTTCCGTTCTTGAGACTATACCAGCGGTGTAGAAATTGGGAAGTTTTTACTTCTACAATAGAAAAACGAATTATTTTCTACGCCACTGACTTTTTTGAAACATCTATTGTATTCAATTTTACACGATCATTGTAAAATTCATACATTAGGCAGATTATACCTTAATATACATATCAGATGGAAATATAGACACTGCTTTAAATATGTTCTGACTTCTCAAAAATCATAAATTGGCTAATGTAAATAAACTAAAATTGAATGCTTTCAGAACAAATTGTACAAGAAATGGTAGAATAATTGAAAAAGTTGGATCAGTTGAATGAACAAACATGTATATTGACCGTAAACTGAAGTTTGAAGATCAGTATCACATTATATCAAAAATTACAAAAAAAACAAATTACTTTTTATATAGTTTTAGTATATATTCCGAAAAATGGTTTGCAATACAATAATAATTATTCAACAGCATTTACTATATTGTTTATCTATCTTGTTCACTGCCAACGTAACTGTATTTTCAAAATTACAAGGCCTACAAACTAAAGGTATGAGTGCAATATTGAATAAAAATAAGTCCACTAAAATGAAATCTACGTTACTAGAATTACAGTGGTTAAATTAAAAAAAACATCATGTCTGGTCCTTGTTTTTATATTTAAAATAAAAAAATCATCTTTTGCCATAACATTTACAATATTCATAGAATTGAATGATCATCACCACAATTATTATACAAGAGGAAATATGGATTTTCAATTACAAAATTCCAATAGTAATACAACTAGCAAATCGATATTTCAAAAGGGATTACCTGAATTTAATAAACTAAGTAATTGTATAAGTTTTACTTGTAATTTGAAGAAGCTTTAAAAAAAGTAAAGCAACAATTCATGGAGAGTGAAAATTATTAGAGATGCAAGTCTTGTTTTTCTAAAATTTCTTATATTATTTAATTCTATGAGCTTCTTAAATGAATGTAACTGTGGCAACCATGCTAAATAAATCTCAAACAAACGATTCGCGTATCTCGCGAAATTCTTGACTTTGGAGAAAAAGTGATTTGAACGGTTGAGGTAAAAACATATTAAAAGCTTCAACCCGCTCTACTTTGAAGATACATTAAAGTTACTGAAGTTTCAGATTCAAAATTGCAGGCAATGTATTATTAGGACAATCCTATCAGTAGCGCAGAAATTTATAATACCCTGTATCTTGTTAATGGGACTTATGTTCACAGTAACCTTTGTTGTTGATCTTAGATGAACCTTCTGCTCTAGAAATTCAGCCATTGTTTTAAAAATTGATAATTATTTATTTTTTCTAATTCTGAACATCTATTTTAACGTCGACAGTGCATAAATAATAATTAACAAACTGACCTGTGGTTGAGGAAACCATTTCTCCCGTTGTTCCCTCCAACCGAATTTCCCTCAACTCCGTCCGCGTAAGGATTGTTGGCCACCTCTGGGAACACGTCGAATTGCGGAGGGTCCTCTATTGGAGGACTCTGGAGGGTTATCTGGCCTAGGAACGTCTCCGTTTGCGAAGGATCCCTATGAATATATGAATGCCAAATTGAATATTTGCTTAGAAACGAATATGTTGTACAATCAATAGACGTTTGTTCTGCATGAGGATGGAGCTTGTTATGTTTTATAGAGTATCCCACTTTACCTTTTCTGGGGTTCGAGAAAAATACTGTGCTTGGCTGAGAGAATGTGGAATGGTTATTCGGATATAATTATAAATGCAAATATGTTTATTTATTTAAAGTATCATCAGATTATCGGTCTTCTTCCCTTGTATAGATAGAACTGCTTAAGTAAGCTTTCAGCGGATCCAAAACAGTTATTGTGATTATTTCATCTGAATAAATATACTCATGCTTCAGCGAAAATTAATGAATTACGATGGCGTAATACGTATATACAGGGTGGCGCATCGAAAACGAAACAGACGCATTTACTGGCAGCTCAGTTTTTTTTTGGAAAAACGCTCAGACCCGTCGATTTTGTTTTCGAGGGGGACACAAGTTTGGCAAAAAATCACGTTAGCACGTGCAGCCCCCTAAGCGGGGGTGACACCACCCCCAAAATCTTAAAGGGGGGTCGAGTGATACCTTATTTTAAAGGTCTTTCAATTCCCTTTATAATGATATAAAATTAATGTATTTCAGTCCAGTAGTTTTGAAGATTTATTGATTTAAAGCTTAAATAAAACTAATACATCATCATTAGTGGAGATCAATACATTTGGCAGCAAAGTAATTTAAAAATTAAGAATGAACTGACCCGTTAGGCAAGTAAATGTTGAAAATGGCCACCATGACTCTCCATGCAATAATAAAGATTTTGCTCAAAGTGTTGCCGCACATTTTGCAATATTTGAGGAGTAATTTGAAGGCACTCATTAACAATTCTCTATCGCAGGTCTTCTAATGATGTTGGCTGAGTAGCATAGATTTTGCTTTTTAAATGACTCCACATAAAGAAATCCAAAGGTGAAAAATCTGGCGATCTTGAGGGCCATTCAATGGCACCTCTTCTATCAATCCATCGATCTGCAAACGTATGATCTAAATATTGTCGAACACGTAATGCGTAATGTGTGGAGCACCATCTGTTGGAACATCAACCTATTCGCAATGTACCGCCGATCATTATGATTTTCAATTATGGCTGTTAATGCAGGATCTATGGCGTCTTCCAGTAATTCCAAATACATTTCACCGGTCAAATTTCCAGGTAAGAAAAAAGGACCAACTAAAAGATCGCCAAAAATACCAGCCCAAACATTTAATTTTTGTGGCTGCTGTGTGTGAACCTCATGATGAATTCTGGGATTAGAATCGGACCAATATCGGCAGTTATGATAATTTACTACGCCATTTAAGAAAAAGGAACATTCGTCGGAAAAGCAAGTGTTGAATAGAAAATGTTCATCGTTTATAATTCGTTCACTCATATTTTCACAAAATTGTAATCGCCGATCAAAATCGTCTTCATTAAGTTCTTGTACCAGGTGAATTTTATACGGATGAAAACTATGGGCCTTTAGAATCCGTTGGACTAACAACCCACACGGTCTCCAATTTGCGGGTACTTAACGTAGGATATACATAAACTTGCCCTGAAACCCCTACTTCTATTGCTTCGTTCCTTATGGGATTTTCAATGTTGCGTCTTTTATTGGCGACTGACCCAGTTTCCCGAAATTTAGCTACAAGTTCTAGAACATATTTTCGATGCACGTTACTGTTCTCATGTCGCTCATTAAATATTTCTGCTGTTCTATTAGCGCAATGATTATTTTCGAAAAATATCTCGATAATTTCAACTCTTTCTGCTGTGGAATATACCATGGTTAATTTATGTAATAAAGCGTTACAAGTCATTTTAGTATTGGTCAAATCAATCGCAAACTATGTAATAAATTCCTATTTAAAATAAGTACTAGATATTTCCTTATCTTTCTTCAAGAAATAACTTTTTTGCCACAAAAAACGCTCCAATAGCTATTTTCAACAACAAAATGATAAGCAAACCATGGACGTAGTGAAGAAAAGCATTTACTTATTAAGTAAATTCTTTTACTCAAATTTCTTCTAAAAGTAGTAAAAACTAATCTGAGGTACCTATTAAAGTCTACTTTAAGCTTCAAATCAATAAATCTTCAAAACTACTGAACTGAAGCTCATGTATTTTACATCACTATCCGAAAATAGTACAAATTTATCTAATGTACCTATTAAAGACTAGTTTAAGCTTTAAATCAATAAATCTTCAAAACTACTGAACTGAAGCTCATGTATTGAAAGTCCTTTAAAATAAGGTATCACTCGAGCCCCCTTTCCATTTAAGATTTTTGGGGTTGGTGTCATCCCCGCCCAAGGGGCTGCACGTGTTAACGTGATTTTTTGCCAAACTTGTTTCCCCCTCGAAAACAAATTCGACGGGTCTGAGCGTTTTACCAAAAAAAAACTGAGCTGCCAGTAAATGCGTCTGTTTCGTTTTCGATGCGCCACCCTGTATACTCAATAGCACAAGGCAATAGAATAGCCTTTTAGTTAAATGCAAGAGCAAAGTGATGTGAAACTACCCGGATTTCAATGATTTGGGTGTACAATTTGATGAGCACTTGAACTGGAATAAACAGGTAGACAAAATCCTAAATAAGCTATCAAGGTACTGATATGTGATATTCTAGCTATTAAATTTTTTGACATTCGTATTTTAAAGCTTTATCACATTTCCAGTGTTCATTCAACCCTTAGCTACTGCATCGTTTGCTGGGAGACCTGCTCTCGTATTCACGAAATCTTTGTCATTCAGAAACATATATTAAATGCCTTTCAACTGTCGGCTTTACCTTTGCAAAAAGATTCAAACAATTGAGGACAATGAAAGTTCACTCCTTATATAGAACCCTAATCCACATCGGAGAAAGTCTTGAAGCTTCTTATATCAAAAGAAAATAAACTAAGTGCTACGGATTAAGCCAATCTGACGACATAGTTGTTCCTCCTCATAGATTTATCATTGACGACCAAATGTCCCGTAGTTATGGCAATAAGACTTTAAACCACTTGCCAAATTCCATATAGGGTATAACCAAGGTACATCTTTTTAAAGCAAATGTTAAGGATATTATGTTAAGCAATCCCTTCTATAGCGTTTAGAAATATCTTAGCAGTGTTAACATGTAATTTATTTATTCACCACTGAGGCTTATAGGGTAAATCGAGGTTATATGGCCATAGAGGAGAGATGGCCCAACTCGATATTTTCCTGAATAGTTATTAGAGGGCGTTTTTTTCAATAAGGCGTAATGTACTGTTGTGTGATCGTGCTATACTAGAAACTCTGAGTCATTTAACTAAGTTTAAAGGTAAGTTATTTTAAAATTACTGTTTACATGGGTTCAATAGTTTTTGAATACAATTTTCCACTAGCCAAATTTCATAAAATTTTATTAGTTTTTAACAATCCGTCTGGTGTTTATTTTACCATGTGTGGTGTGTTTTATGTTGCCTAAGCGTTTTACGCGAATTAACGTATATAAAATCTAAATCATGCTATGGCCATTTTTCCTCGAAGAAAAGGAGAGATGGCCCACTTATTTCCTATGTATGATGGCCATCGTAGATCATTTGTATTTATTTTAGATGCCAAATATTTATAACAGAAAATCATTGGAGAGGGCCAAATGGACCGAGGAGCAACTGAAATCTGCAATGAGTACTGTTAAAGATGAGGGATTATCTGTACGTCAGGCTGGAAAAACTTACGGTATTCCGAGAAAGACATTGGAAAGGCGAAAGAATGAAGACCATAAGAAAAAATTGGGTCCAGATACTACTTTCGGAGCTGCACATGAAAACAGACTGGTTCCGCATATTAAAGAAATGCAAAAAGAGGATCTCCAATTACTAGAGATGATTTGCGAACCACAGCTTATAAATTTGCTGTTCAGCTGGGCTTAAAACATAAATTTAATAATCGGCTTCAGAAAGCTGGTTAAGTTTGGCTGCATTCATTTCTCACCAGAGATCCACAAATATCAGTTAGAAAAGCAGAAAGTTTGTCGTTGGCGAGGTGCACAGCAATGTCTAGAAAGGTAGTAGTTGATAACTTTAAAGTACTGCCGAGTGTTCTGGAAAAAACAATATCTTGATAAACCCCCAAAATATTTTTAATATGGACGAGGGTGGATTGCAACTAAATACAAGACCGGGGGAAGTTTTGGCAGTAAAAGGATTAAAAGTAGTTTCGTCAGTTGCTTGAGCAGAAAAGGCCGAGACTGTAACAGTTGTTGCCTGCTGTAACGCCGAGGGCACTTTTCTTCCTCCTGTCGCTATTATGAAAGGAAAAAATTTAAGTTAGTTTTTTATGTAAGTTACTTTTTTGGCAAAAGGATTGGCTATTGAGTTTTTAGTTTTTTTTTCTGTTATATGTAATAATAAAGTCTCATAGGTATTTCACGAGTATTCTTATAAAACTCATTATTTTCTTTGAAATTTATATGGCCATCTTACTTTCTATGATATGGCCATCTCTACTAAACACTATAGGAGAGATGCCCCATATATAAAAAATACCGATATTTATCAACAAAATGAAAAACCAAATTTATAATAAATTTGCACAGAGCAACAAATAATAATTACCATGCCCTACCCTAAGATATAATATATAAAAATATGGCCATCTTTCATCGGTTTACCCTAATGTGTATTTCGTCGGGCACGGGTAACTATTATATGTGTATTTTCTTCATGCTTTTCTTAACGATTGCTCATTTTATACATGACCAAAGACTATTTGTTGACTAACTAAATTTCATTCTTAATGACAATTCCGATACTATCATCGATTGATGTGAATTCTAGATACGTTTCGACTTCACTACGTAAACTAGTAAGTATTAGGTATCCCAACCATCTTTCAAGGATTCCCCACACAACAACTTTTCAAAGGACATTTTTATATAATGCTGTTACACTACAGAGCAAATTAAAGTCAGTCTACAACCAAATTCGATTTACAATTTGAAGAAATAAGTTGAAACGATTTCTATATGATCAAATGCAATCCCATCGAAAACCATAGGAAAATAGTGAATTTAGAATAGTTTTTACAATATTTAGCCACAGTTGCAGTTGTCATTAAGAAGCTATCCAAAGTACTCAAGGATCTTTTGGTCTGGAAATGTTGAACTTGCTGTCAAACCCTTCTATAACTTTTATCTTATTGCAGTGGCGTAGCCAGGTGGGAGCAGCGGCGGCGGTCCGTACCGGGTGTCACCTTTTTTGGGGTGACACCCACTCGGTGACCCAACTTTTTCAGGGTTCAACTCCAGACAAGATCGAAGTTTCTTCAAGACTTAGCTCCATTGTTTGAGATCGTGCAAACAAATACTTTGCTTTGGGCGAATTCTGAAGAAGTGAAATTACTTTTGAGGATACCAAGATTGCGAAGACACTTAAAAGCAGCTAATAACACAGTTTCTAATTGGGTATCTCCAGATTTTTTTAAGTATTTGGATTTTACAGAATCTCTTCCAAATCTTATGTTTGCACTAAAATTGTTCATGACGGTTTGCGTGTCCGTAGCTTCGAGTGAAAATTAATAAAAAACTATTTGCGGGCAACAATGACCCAATCGCGGCTTAGCAATCTGGGCGTATTAGCCATCGAACATGAGGCAATACGAAACATAAATTTTGATGAAGTTATTATATTGTGTTTTGTTATTATTTCAATATTTTAAATATAAATATCAAATGATCCATGATGTTTATAAATCATATAAAATTTATTTGCTTTAGACTTTCGATGGGGTGACACCACCAACTTCCGCACCGGGTGGCACCCAAGGTAGCTAGGCCACTGTCTTATTGTACTTAACAGTTATTCTTTACCTGTTTCGAGTCTTGGAGAACAGATGTGAATAGTTTGGTCTCATGGTGGTAGGCTTTGGAAACTGATGGGTAGACCGGAAGCCCGTTGGTTCTGAGTTCGGGAAAGTAAAATGGCCGAACTGGTTAGGAGGAGTATCATCCTGAAACTAAAAATATTATTGAATAACGCATTTTTTCATGCTGACATTTAAAATGGAACTTTTGCATTTGTTATAGAGCAAAACTTATTGGATGGAATTTTCATTTTCCTATTCCTAGTAGACCTTCGGGACACGTATTCATTTTGGCATAATTATGTTTTCCTGATTCGAAAATACGGTCAAGTTTGACATTTTGCAAACTGTGTGTTTGGAAAGCGGCCCCGTACAAAAGGGGGGTTCGAAATGAGTCCTACGTTCCGCTTCATTTCAGCAATGATTTTTTTGCTTTAGTGCTTCTTGTAGTCTGCAAACAGGTGAAAAATCTGACGATTACTACCTACAAATGAATTGCCATTGCTGACTTCATTCTATCCCATACGTTGAAAATAACAGACGATTCCTACGTCCTCTGGCTGACCAGTCAAGTAGCCGGAAGACGAATCAACCAGCAATGCATTTCTATACATATACAGGGTGCTTCTTAATGATATGCGAATACTTGAGGATGATTTTTTGCCATTTAAAAAATATTTTTGAATTCCGCGTTCAATTTAAAACAAATGATCTCTCTTAAATTGCTTTTCTTCGAAGCGCCATTTTTGAGTAAAAAAATAAAAACCATTCTATTGTCTAACTTACAAAATTATTATTAATTTAATTGGAAAAATTAAACACCTTAGGGGTAATGAACAACAACAACTGACAACATAAACATGACATTAAAACCAACGAAATGATTACAAAAATTGTTGAAAATGGCCCCCTTCACTTTGTATGCGTGCTTCCGCCCTCCTTCTCATGGAATTGCGCACTCGTTGAAATATCCCTGGAGTGTTTTTTATTTTATCAAAAGCTGCAACTATTCTTTCTCTTAATTCCTCTTCAGTGTTAATGGGACTTGTGTACACTAGTGTCTTAAGATAGCCCCACAAAAATAAATCTGAGCTGTTGAGGTCTGGGGACCTTGGTGGCTATTCTTGGGCCCCACCGCGGCACATCCAACGATTTGGATAAACAGTTAGTAAATAATTACGAACCGCTACACTGAAATGCGTTGGTGCGCCATCATGCATGTACCACGTATTGTTTCTTATTACTTTCGGAACATGATCAAGCAGCAAAGGCAACTGTTGTTGAAGAAAATTGAGGTAAATGTGTCCGTCAAGTCGTCCCGGCAAGATTAATGGGTCAATAAAGTGGTTGCCAATAATTCCTGCCCATATGTTGACCGAAAATTGGTGTTTAAAATGGGTTTCGGTTACGGCATAGGCATTTTCTTCTGCCCACAAATGATTATTGTGGAAATTTTGAATGGCATTTCGAGAAAAATTAGCTTCGTCCGTGAACAGAATCATTGTTTCAAATTGCGGATTTTGTGTAATTTTTTGAAGATACCACTGACAAAAGGTCACACACCTTGGAAAATCAATGGGAAGTAATGCCTGTACTCTTAAAATATGGTAAGGATATAACAAAAAATCCACTAAAATTCTGGTAATTTGATGGTAAATATTTAAGTATCTAGCGATCTTCCTCGTACTCGTTTCAGGATGTTCTTCGACTTCGTGCAGCACTGCTTCCTCAATTTCAGGTGTTCTCGCACTGAGAGGTCTACCTTCAGATGTTCCTTTTCGGACAGAACCAGTTTCAACAAGACGACGATGAATATTAGAAAATGTTCGACTATCTGGCAAAGCACGATCGGGATACCGCTGGTGATAAATCCGTCTGGCTTGCTCACCATTAAGGTCTGCAAGACCATATACGTAATGCATTTCCGGAACCATTTCTGCATTCGAATAATTCACCATTATTAACAGGATTGTAAAAACTAAATAATGAAAAAGATGTCACAGCGAACAGTCAGATGTCAAAAGCCAGTGACATATTCCAGAGCAATTAGATATTTATTGCTAAATTGCATTCTTCAATTATTACATTAATTTTCTCGGACAAAAGAACGGTTTTTATTTTTTTACTCAAAAATGGCGCTTCGAAGGAACTATTCAAGAAAGAACATTTGTTTTCAATTGAACGGGGAATTCAAAAATAATTTTTATTTGGTAAAAAACCATTGGCGTACCATGTTTTTCTTAAAAAAGTCAATACCCGTACGCACGCCACTGTTAAAGCTAAAAATTATTTCTGCATTGAAAAATATGCAGCTGTATTAACTTTCACTACATACTAAATATCAGTGAAATATTCTGAAAATATTAATTAATTTCCATTTTCTTCCTAAAGCTTCAACACCCCGAGTTTTTGTAAGGAAACATTTTTGGACTGCAAACTAACATTAATGTTTCATATAGATTCACACCCTTAAATATTCGCATATCATTCAGGAACACCCTGTATACATAAATAGACGTTTATTCGCTTTCCGTTTGCCTGCTTCCATCACCAGATCTATACCGTACTGAAGAGTGCCAAAGAATACCAAACAGCGCTTTCTGCGGTTAGCCATGGTTGCAGAGACAGAAAGCAAAAACATACTCAGTTCAGACTGTTCTTATGGCATACTGAATCTGCACCGCAATTGTAGACCGTTTAAAATTTGGAATTTGAATCGGCTGTGAAAAAGAATCTAGTGGCTATTTTTTAAAATTTTTGCTGAACCTTGATATTTAAGATTGGAACTGTCGTTCATATGACGGCTGGCCCGATAGAGTTTCAACCGATTAACCCATATTTCAAGTACTTGTTTGATTGTTTCAGTTTGCCTTGAATGGCAAGTTTAATTTCATATTTCGACGCCTCAGATGTCCTTAACGCTGTCCAAAAGTTAGATTGCTATGTTGTCTGTGAGGCAAGTTGCGTAGTCCTGTTGAAATCATGCCATTTTCTCCACCATTGGAAACAGAGATTCGTTAAGCAGAACTAACTGAAATATCAGTTACTTGCTGATTTTAGAAGAAAAATGGGCTGAACTATACTTTAGCGCATATCGCAAATATTACCTACATTTCTTATTTTAAAATGAAAGAATAGGATGTAACTTGCACGAAAATAACATTTTTTCTTTAAGGAACCCTCTGCTTGCTATTTTATAGAACTTCAAAGTTGCATTTTGTGTGGTAATACTGTGGTATAGAATACTGCTTTATAAGCTGTTTTTCTCTTGCTTACACAAAATAGTGCTCAAGATTATATGAATATAACATACAATGTAAATTACTGTGACACTGTTCATCGTAATAATGCAATTTTGCATTATTTTAATGATGAAAATAGTTCAATGTTGAGTAGTAATTTTTTTTAATGGTTAAGGAATTTCAAGAGGTCTTTGAAAAATCACAACACAACACCTCTACACAGTTTACCAAGTAAATACCATCATTTACGTATGTATACTAAGTGACATATAAATCCGAACACCCAGTTTAAATGGTTTTATTTTAATAAAATTTTGTATAAGTACTTAATGAAGCATAATAACTAAATGATAAAAATTTCAAAATGATTGCACTGCTTTAAAGCCCTTTGACCTTTAATAATGTGTGGATGCACCCTGATGTGCTACGCATTCTCCAACGCGCCTAGGCATGCTTCTGATCAGGTGGTCAATGTCCTCCTGTGGTATCTCATTCCAGGCAACCACCAACTCCTCTCGAAGTGCTTCTAGAGTCTGAGGAGGACGTTGCAAATTGAGCAATCTCCTACCCATCATATCCCACAACGTGCTCAATTGGGGATAAGTCGGGAGATCTTGGTGGCCATGGTAACAATGTGACATCATTATGTTGAAAGAAGTCTATTGTGACTCTTGCAACATGTGGTCGGGCATTATCTTGTTGGAAAGTTGGATCTGCCAAGGTGTCAAGATAGGGTAAAAGATGGGGTTCTAGAACTTCGTGGATATAACGCTGCGCGTTCATGTTACCTCTGATGAAGATTAAAGGTGACCTGGAACCATAACTCCAACAGTGTGATGAATATGTCTTTCAACAAAAAACTGTAGATTCCTCCTTTCACCACGTTGCCTTCTAACCCTGGCACGACCATCGTGCATGCCTAAACAAAATCGAGACTCGTCACTAAAGACAATACTGTTCCATTCCTGATCCCAGAGTGACCGTTGTCTGTACCACTCAAGGCGATTACGTCGGTGTTCTCGAGTTAAAGAGAGGGCACAGTGTGGCCGGTATGAAAACAAGCCAAAACTTCTCATTCGTCGGTAAACACTTCGCATGCCAATAGGTCTTCCGTGTTCTGCAAACCATTCATTTGCAATGGACCTGGTAGTGGAGAAACGGTCCCTTAAGGCCAATAATCTTAGGCGGCGATCTTCACGGTCTGTTGTTCTACGGCGGCGTCCAGTGCCGCTTGCTCTTTGCGTACGGCCTTCTCGAAGCCATGCCTGACAACACCTAACCACAGTGTTATACACTTCTTTGCACTCTAACTGCAATTGCCCGAAAAGAAAGTCCAGCTTCCCGAAGTCCCACTATATGGCCCCTATTAAACTCACTAAGTTGACGAAATCGTACAGGTCTCCATACTCTAGGCATAGTAACCGATCGTAAAGGATGTCAAGAACCAAAATCCGCCAACGTTGATTCTTTACTGCGGCTGAAATATTCATTTTTAGAGCGTTAGTGAATTGAAAAAAAGCAGTATAAAAACCGGAATGTCCAACTGATAAGGCTGAAAATTTTTTCACTTGTTATTTACAGTAAGATAAATGCATTCACCAACTTTTATTAAAATAAAACCATTTAAACTGGGTGTTCGGATTTATATGTCACTTAGTATATTTTGAACTGCTATTTTAGCTAATAGGTTAATTTGTAATAACACGGATGACTTTGAACCGTTTTTTGCAAAAAACAACGATTTTTTACCGTTTCTCATCTATTTTCCTTAGTACTATACGGTGTGTGTTATATTCTTATAATTTTGTGCAAAAAGCCAAAAACGTTTAAAACAGTATTCCATTCCAGAGTATTAGCACCAAAAATGCAACTTTGAAGCTCTATAAAATAGCAAGCAGAGGATTCCTTAAAGAAAAAATGATATTTTCGTGGTAATCTTTCATTTTAAAGTAAGAAATGGAGTATTTGCGATATGCGCTTAAGTGTAGTCTTACCGAAAAATGGCCCTTTAAGGTTGTCGAACAAAACACCGCACCAAACAATCACACTTTGTGGTTGCCTAGGCTGCCCCATAGCCACGTGTGGATTCTATGGTTCCCATAAAACGCATCGCATTGTTCCGTTATGTAAATATCAAACATTTAACTAATGTTTTCATACATCATAAATGAGATTTCAGTTTCCGATTTCAGCATAACCTGAACTTCAAATTCGAAACGCTAAACGACCCACCCGGTATATTGACTTACACTGACAACATGTTGCGGCTGATTCTGAAACCTGTACTGAGGTAGAGTATGCTGCAGATGCGATGGTAGATCCGACGTTTGTAGATCGCCGACTGAGGGTCTGAAACCAGCTGGTTCTTGCCGGTAAGGGATGTTCAGGAACTGTTGTTGTGGCCTGCTGGGCTGAGTGAACGGGTTGAACGGCGCTTGGGCATCGCTGAAGATGAACTGGTGACCTGGAAATAGAAGAAAGTAGGTTGAAGTACTTTGTAATTTTTACGAAAAATGAAAGGGAGCCAAAGTTTGACACGAAATACTAAGGTTAGGGTTTAAACATGAATCCAACGACGTTGTAAATACTGCTCTCATAGTTCAAAATATCTATCGTTGGCTATGGACCTGGGTGATAACGTTTTTGCCAGAACACCTGCAGAGGCCAAATACTAACTATACTATTAATAACAAAATCTATACCAAATCTTCAGAAAATTTGTTGAGGTTCTAAGTTTGTTGCAACTGAAGTTTCAAAATTACATTTTTTATATTTAGTCACGCATGTAGAAAAATCTTTATTTTTAAGAAAAATCAAGCTAATCATCCTGTATCATATAGAAAAGCCTCTTTAATGATGTTTCAAAATATTTAATAGGCTGACATGATGCTACGAAATTCCCTGAAGGCGGTTGAAATTTACTCATCATAAGGTAAGCAATAAAACTTACAAAAGATAGGAAACAAATTAGTCATAGGCATCTAAGGCGTATCGTATCGTCAGTCGTTCCTACAATTGTAGGGCGCCTTTATGGCCTCCTTGATTGTCATAGTTTTCTATTTTTCCATGTCAGTGCTCTATTTTGAGGTTATGTCACAAACATCTATTGCATCAAATTGTGCTTGCTTTTGAGTTATATCATGTTTTAGCAGCCTGAAATTTCCTACAATTTAAAAGGAAAACATATCTTCACAATAGGAGAGCGCTGACGCTGACACGGGACTAGTGTAATCTAGAAATTTTTGAAGGAGAGAAAGGAGTATGACAATCAACGAGGCCATAAACGCGCCCTACAATTGTAGGGACGACTGACGATACGGGCCTTAGAGAGATAACATATTTCAAGTGTTTTTTTCGCTAATTTCCCATGTCTATTGATGGATTATGGAGGCTATGAAAATAATCTTGATCATTCGAAGAAGTTGCCCAGTACGTCTCTAAATATTAACCCAAAGATCTTCAGTACATCGTCAAACCTACCGAAAGTCAGAATATTCGATATGAATGTTCAGACTCTGAGAAAGCATATTGATAGATCTCTATCTTATTTATAAATCTATAAATTCTATACAATTCATATATAATGCTCTGTATAACGTTTTGACTCACACATTTTTGTATGCTTCATAATGTTAAAAACAAAAAACAAAACATTATCTGCATCTGTATTAGGTATAGCAATTCGTTAACAAATGACGGACATTTCACGATACATGGGTTTTTTTTTTGTTCTTAAAAATATATCAGCATTATCTCTCGTCAGTTCAGTGTATATTGATCTACAAATTTTATCAAAATCGGTGAAGTGGTTATTAGTAGCGCGCAGGGCAACCTGCAAAAGACGTATATCATATTGAATTCGATGTGTCAGAAGGGAAAATTTAGTTTTGTTACATTTCTGAAAATGTTCGTACAATTACTTTGAAGTATGGCTGCAATTTTATCAATCATAAATCGTAGTCATCAGAATTTGAAACAAGCCAAATTCAAAAACTCGATTATTACAAAATGGTATGTGACTTCACTACATATATACCAGTTCGTCAGGAATAAATCATTAAATCAAAGCAACAAAACATTCTTCATTATTTTATTGTTTGGAGCATTCTGCATAATACCCCTAAACTCCAAAAAACGAGTCGTCTATGGAGCATCGAGTCCCAGTGAGCCATGCATTAGGCGTTTGTTTTTTGTCCTCCAATCTAGTGCGGCGTTCTGCTGTGTACCTAATTTGAGGTTATAATTTATAATTACGGTAACGTTCTTCCGGATTTTCTCGTGAAGGAAAATGATTCGTTCTAATTTTAATAAACAGTGGTATTTATGTTGTGATAGTATCGATTTGTGTGTGACAGTAGTATCGCGTTACAATTGAACACATTTTCGGTAGGTAAATAAACTACGATCCGTTAGTTGAAAGTGCAATTTATGGATTGTGGATGCCAAGACTGGAGGCAATGGTACCTACATTAGGTATGTGTAATTGCAAATTCTAGAAAAGCTAGTGCCTGAGGTAACGTTTATTTCAAAGGTTTTTAAGTAGGACTTTTACTACTTTTAATTTGGGTATACTTTATCTGAAGTCACTTGAAACACTGTGAAATACCGGGTGCGTTCTATATCTATATTTAACACGCTCTGTTGCTGCAAAAATCGCCAAATTTCGCAGCAAATATTCCCCGTATAAGATCAAAGGCAGTTTCACCGGTCTACGTGGAGTAAAGCACGCTATGCGTGGACATAGCCAATGAGAAAGCGTGTATTTCAGAGCTCCGAACAAGTGCAGGTGGCTACTGAAAATTGAAACAGTTTAGCCAGTGCCGTGTAGCGGTGAATAAACGTGTTTTCTTTAGTCTGTCCGTGTTTTTTCATAGATTTTATTAGTTTGTGTGTTTTTGACTTTTGAATACTCAGTTTACTTGTTGATTTAATTGATGTGTTGATTGTTCTTGCGTGTCCTAAATATGGCTCTTTGGAGACCTTGGGAAAATGCTCCAAGCCGCGAGGAGATGGTTGATGAACCTGTGCAGGCAGAATTCTTTCATAAAGATTTAGAGGAACAGACCCAAAGAGTAATCCTAAATATGTATGATTGTCTGAAAAACGAAAATCCAGATTCCTCGCAAAATCAAATTTTAAACAGAATTTGTATCCTGACAAAAATCAGTCGGTCTACCATTTATCGGGTTATAAAAAGGGGAGATGTAGTCAACCATTCCTTCCACAGAAAGCGCATAGGGCAAAAATTAAAAAGAATAGACGTGGGTTTTCAGGAAGATATTCGTCGTATAATATACGGATTTTATAAAGAAAATTTGGTGCCCACGTTGGAAATGATACGGGATAAATTAAAAGATTATCCTGAAGATTTTTATAATTACAAATGCTTAGACTCACTGCACTGTATTGTAAAACTGTGTGGTTTTCAATACAAAAAATTAGATAAAAGAATGGTGATTATGGAGTCGTCTCGAATCGTTGAATTGCGCCAAGAATTTTTGCACAAAGTTAAAATCTATAGAGAGCAGAAAAGAAATCTGATTTGCCTGGATGAAACGTGGTATGATACCCATGATGTTGTGCAGTACGGCTGGGTTGACGGCAGCAACAAGTGCATTTTAAATGCACCATCGTGGAAAACGAATCATTATTCTCCATGCTGGCAGTGAAAATGGATTTATACCTAATGCCTTGCTGTTATCTGCCAAAAATACCAAAAAATCATGTGCCGACTATCATGAGGACATGACCTCCGACTTATTTGAAAAGTGGATAGAGCAGCAGTTAATACCAAACATTTCCCCAAATTCAGTGATTATTATGGACAATGCGCCATACCATTCCCGACAGAAAAACAAAATTCCGAATACAGGCACAAAAAAAAGACATTATTGATTTTATGAAGGATAAGGGAATGGAAATACCACAAAAATCAACCAAAGCCATATTATTGGATCTTATTAAAAGACAAAAATTTGAAAAAGAGTATTTTGTTGGCAATCTGCTTCAGCAAAATGGCCATGAAGTATTACGTCTACATCCCTATTACTGCATTTTTAACCCGATTGAGTTGGTCTGGGCTGCTTTAAAAAAAAAGTAAGAAAACATAATCAGACCCCTCAATTAAGTGAATCGCTATTGGCCACAATAAGAGATGCAGTATCTCATATTGCTGCCACAGACCTATGGAAGCAGTGTTCTAGGCATATTATTGAAAAAGAAAATGAATATTGTGTTTTGCCTCCTGTAAATCCCGTTGTAATTCCTCTACAAGATGACTCTAGCGACAGCTCCGAAGGCGAGGATGATATATAAATACCTATAATGTAAGTCTTTATATACCTTTTTATATACCTACCTGCTATGTAAATATTTGCCTATATGTCAAACGTTGGAATTCTGTAATTTTTACATTTCTTAACTTTCAGTCAACATAAATTAAACTCCCAATATAAGTATTCTTTATCCCAAATCAAAAAAATAAGAAGATAGTAAAATCCATTTATTGTGATATAAAAACATTATTATTATTATCGTTCTAAATAAATGACCGCACGCCTATGATACGTCATGAAATTACAAAGGACGCGCCGACCAAAGGTTTTTATGCTATTTCAAGTGACTTCAGATAAAGTATACCTATTTCTTCCTACGATTTCGGATATAACTGTTTACTGACAATACTTTTTTCATGATAGGTAACCCCGAGTTGAAGCATGTATACATGGTAAGTCATTTTGAACATTTTTAACATAATTTGTGTTCTTTGTATATAAAGTACACCATAAACTAGTAATTTATTTAGCTTTCGTCCGTGTGTTTCTTTCCATCAGAGCTACATTATGTTTGTTTACACATATATGTATATATCGTAAAAATCCGTCAGTATATTGTTGCATTAAAATGTCTATTGTCAAAGTAACTAGTGCAATTACTTTGAATATTGCATTTTTTTACTCTCTTAATCTCCTTCAAACTAATGCAAGTCATATGACCTATACTTTATACTACTCCCACACAAGCGGAGTCTCAAATTTAAGCTAGTTCCTTTATATCAGTCGGTGGAGAAACCTTCATAATGCAATCGGAATAATTGCGCAGCAGTTATCCAAAGAATTCCATGACCTATATTCCGCATCCACCCTCCGCAATTCCGCATTCTTCCCTCATTCCATGGCAAGCGCTATTCGTCCATCTTCCATCGGAAGAGAAAAGTGAAATACATCACAAGTAATGGATGCTCGATGGAAATATCAAGTGTCTGAAGCATCAGCGAGCGATGGCGGGCGATCGAAAAGCATTAAAGTTGCAGTGAGGAGTGGGGGTATTGATAGACCAGGATGTGACCAGGACTTTAGAAAAAAATACATTTGAGAGTAAATCTAGGCATCTCATTTGGAAAAGTCACACGTATGGGTACGAGTTAATGCGTTGACTTACGTAGAAAGATAACCATATACTATATTCC